GACAAGAAATGCAAGAAATCTATGAAATATTGCCTATAAAGTATAAACCACCTAAACTCAAGAACTTATGAAACCTTTCCAGAGTGATCTAGGTGCCAAGTTAACACAAGCAGCCTCTGGTGGGAATATGGACCGAAATAAGTGACAGATCAGTTACGTAGGAGATGACGGTTTCCAGGAAATTTAAAACAATCGATCAAATGGTGGCCATATCAGACAATGTGTTGGGGTTTTGACGTCTAATTCAAAATCGATAACCGCGGCGCGACTTATAAATATTTCTAGCAGTGTGCACTCGGAAAACGGAACAAAAATGGTCCTGCGACCTTGTGAAAACGTGCAATAAGTATACGTTAGGGTTTTTTTCAGCTATTGGCCAAGACTGTCAGGGTCGTTCAGCCAAATGTGGTTAGGAGAAAATGTCTGGCAATTATAATTAATGAACGATAAATTAATATAAATTGTTAATTGTACATTGTTTAGAATGTGACTTTTAGGGTTAGATTTATCACCCCTTGGTGGTCAAGAGATGCTCGAATTTCCATAATCTCTGGAAGACGAACTATATATAGCTATACATGGCCTTCGCCCTTATCTAGGGTAACGATAACACCTAATTACGTTTTTTACGACAACGGTTTTACATTGCTTCACTGACCCACAACAAAATCGTAATAGATCGCCCGTGATCGACAAGAGCTTCTGAGCACATCCGACGGCACCACGACCTTTGTCGCTAGAATTTCCGATCTGACGTTGGTCAAAGGTCGTTCAGGAGACCGAACTGCGGCACCAAATGCGTCGATACCATCGTCGGACGTTTCGACCCTTAAAACGCGATAATTGTCGCAACTAACCCTGTTTTGGCGTAACGTTCCACGGTGAAAACTTGCACCTGCCTCTCCGGCTTGACTTTAGACTCTTCCACGATTACTTTCACGCACAGGTGACGAAAAATGTCCCCGATTCGCGACGTCATCTCTCGATCCGGTGCCTCACTACATTCCTCCGGAAAAACAAAACAATAACAAAAAACAACTCACGCTCCGATAGACCGACATCGACTGTCCCATTCGTACCAATCGCGTTGGCTCGCTTTACCGTTATCTCCGCAAGTCACAAGGTATATGGTCGGGGGATCGCGCAGTTTTATGATAACAAATTATCCACTGAACAGGTTTACACCGTCGAATCTAAAACCGAATGTCATTGAGTTAGACCCGATTTGGTTAATGGTTAAGAAATGGTTGCCGGTTATAAAACACCCCTTTCTAGCAACTTAGCTAATTGTCATATGTCGTATTTTAAATAGGAATAACAACATCGGACGAGTTTTCAAACAAGAAAAGAAAAATTGAACCCAGGGCCAAAAGAATAAAAGTAACACGTGCACACATAAAATATGTTCAATTTGAAATATTTAAAGCTGCGAATGTTATGGGAGGATGTAAACTGGCTCAAATACAAGTGGTATTGGAATTTTACCTGCGTGGTGGTTCGGAGAACATATAAATATTATTATTATATAAATAAAAATTATTATAACTAATATGATCTCATCATAATAATCTATCTCATTGAACTACGATTTCGTAAACCTATATAAATTCAACGTTTCAACAAAGGAGATACTTTTCTTACAAAGCAATAATAAAACTATGCTCTGTTTTTTATAGAACTGTAAAACATATAGCCGTATTACATAACCTATGATAATTGTCAAGGGTCCTGAGAGTGTGAGATAAACTTACTGTTAGTTTTGACCTACTTGTGCCTTAGTCGTCTACCCATCACTCATCACTTTTAACATAATACTAATAATAATAATAAAAACACCCTCTTAATAATTACTCGCGTGGGCAGCAAAAATGGATTTGTCGGTAGTGAATTTCTAGCATTTCAATCAACACGGCGTAGAGAGTAGCATGAAGACATGAATGCTGATACTTTTGAAGACTTCCTCCGGAAAATGCTAGATCTTATTCCTCCTGAGTCTGTTATAATCATGGATAATGCTAGCTGCCACTCAAGAATATCCGAAACAATACCCACGTCTTCCTCGTTGGCTTACTTTAAATAAGGAGCAAATTCAGAAAGATATACGGAGGAACAGTAAAATGTGAGTGGAATAGAAGATAGAATGTGGGAAGGTGATAACATGCTAGAAAACACTGTAGAGACCTTTATTATTTCTCTCAACGCCGACGACTATAGAGAATTTACAATTGAAGTTGTATTGTAAATAGTAGATTTGTTTAAATAATAATATTTATGACAATTTATCTAGTTTTTCTAGTATTTCTACTTCTATATAAGTTTTTATATACAACGGAGTTCGGATATAGTAAACCGGTTTATTGTGAACACTCGTAAATAACGATCATCAAGTAAGGCGTAGATTCGTCGAATGGGCCCAAAACGAGATTGCCGCTGTTCCCGATTTTCATAAGCGATGAAGCGCACTTCTGATTGAATGGCTACGTCAACAAACAAAACTGCCGCATTTGGAGCGAAGCTAATCCTCAAGTGTATGTCGAAACACCGTTACATCCAGAAAAACTGATTGTTTGGTGCGCTTTATGGGCTGGTGGAATCATTGGTCTGTACTTCTTCAAAAACGATGATGGCCAGAACGTTACAGTCAATGATGATCGGTATAGAGCTATGATGACTAACTCTTTCATTCCTGAATTGAATAACCATGATGTCCAGGAGATGTGGTTTCAACAAAACGGCGCAACATGTCACACAGCTCGTGCCACAATCGATTTATTGAAAGACACGTTTGGTGACCGCCTAATTTCACGTTTTAGACCTGAGAATTGGCCTCCAAGATCTTGTGATTTAACACCGCTAGACTACTTTTTGTGGGGCTATGTAACGTCATTGGTCTATGCGGATAAGCCACAAACGCTTGACCATTCGGAAGGCAACATTCGCCGTGTTATTGCCGATATACCGCCCCAAATGTTGGAAAAATTCATCGAAAATTGGACTACATCCGCGCCAGCCGTGGCGGTCATATGCCAGAAATCATATTTAAAATGTAATGCCACAAGATTATCTTTCGGATAAATAAAATTCGTCAATCGAATCATCCATCGATGTTTTATTGCAACTTAAAGTACTATACATCGAAAAAAAACACCCCTTATATTATGCAAACATCTCAACCTTGCTTGAAAATCGATCTTCGGAAGTGAGGGTCAGTTTTTCTTCTCCAGAAAACCCCATTTTGAATCACGCTTTTGGAAATTAATTTCTGCGACTGGAAAAAATGTAAAAAGTCCCGAAAATTGTTTTGCCGCACTGACGTGCCAGTTTGGTCTCGCGGCTTCTCCCTACGCCCTCACTTAAGTTATATCCATTCCGTTTTTAACAACAACAAACAATTTTCAGCGGTAACATTACGTCGGGACAAAACAATGGCACCAGCGAACGCCATCGCGCTTTGCATTGAAAACAAACTCGTTTGTTTCGCTCGTCGAACAAAGGCCGTACTTTCCCACACTCCGGCCGGATAATTAGAGACCGGAAACGAAATGTTCTTCGGACGAAAAAGAGCGTTAATTCTGATCGAACGTCTTAGGCCGGAACGCGTACGTTTGATTGCTACTTGTGACCTGCAATTTTCCTCGCAGGTGTCGTTAAAAGGGGTGGGGGGTGTATTTTGCTGACATAGGGGTTGGAGCGCGGAATTATAAGACAGAAAATGGAGCGGCGCATATTTCTTTATCGAAAATTACTGTTGTGTGGGTCGCGAGTTCGCGTGATGTTTGGCAACACTAACTTGTTGTTAAAAAGAAGCTCTATTGTTATGAGATTATTGCAGATGTTAGACACAAGCAACATGGTCATGTATTAGCGTTTTCAAAAATATCTCTCAAATTTCAAATCGCTAAAGAAGACCCATGGATGTAAACTTATAGAACACAAAACCAAAATGACCACTTCACATAACTTGCCGCTGACAGCTGTGTTACCAATTCTACGTCAGAACAGCAAACCAAAAAATATGCTGATGTAGATATTGTTCTGATTTATTTAAAATTTATAAAATGGGATCCCTCTTTTATTTGAAACTTATTATAAACAGTTCCGCGCAAGTGTACTCCCATTCTATTCATTCTCTATCAGACTTCTAGTATTAATTCTATTAAACGGTGGGCTAAACATTTCGATATATTTCTATTTGATGTGTTTTAATACCGCTGTCTTCGGCTTTAAGAAGGAGGAGAAAAGGAAATAATACTGCACTTTACTCGTTTGTGCAAGATAGACAGTCAGTACCTGGTGGGCAACAGATATTTTCCTAACGTTGGCGGCCATATGTCTGTTAAAAACGTTCTTGGGAATTTGAGGTTGCCAACTTAAAACGACAACCTCTGCGTTGCCAGTTCTACCTATTTTTGAACAGTTCTACTGATTTACGATGTTACCCAGTAATCATTTTTAAATCCACTGACAAAATATTTAATAATTTGAATTGTTTAAGTTATTATTAGTATTATTATAAATTATTATAAGTAAAATAATGATCATGTATAAACGGAAAATGAGCGATCCTTTTTCGGGTTCAGACCGAAGCGATTTTCAACTGCTGGAAGAAGTTTATTTTTATTTGTACTATTCGTGTGTGTCTTATTATAATATAATATCATTTTATGATATACCAATAATTATTAAGTAAAAACCGAAAATGGGCGTTGCTTTTTCAAATTCAGGAAAAACTGAGACATTAATTTTTATTTTTACTATTTGTTCCTGTTCTTCTTTTATATCTGTTTTCTTATAATACACTATAATATTATGTTACAATATAACAATAATTATAACGCAATAATTATTATGTCTAAACCGAAAATGGGCGATGCTTGTCCAACTTCGTTTATTTGTTCGTGTTTTTCTTTTACGTCTTATTTCGTAATTAAAATTTGTGTTTTATAATATTATTAATATATTATACGTTTATTCTTTTTGAGATTTTTATATTTTATTACCTCTTGACGATTTCGTCGCGATCGTCCGTGTCAGGTGGGGACACCAGTTGGGGTGACGCGACTCGTTCGTCGTCGTCGTCATCGATAGCGGCAATCGTGGAATAAGCCGGTGCCTGCCCTCGTTCCAACGTTCCTTCGGGAGTATGCATGAATTTTTATCTGAAACAACGGTTTTTACATTAATTTGTGAAAGTTTAAAAAGGATAAAGGACGCCTCTGGCAGTCCAATTTACTCTTTACCTCGAACCACGAGTCGTCTAGCAAATTTTTCATTTTGATGGCACGGCATGGGATTGATAATTTTTATACCTTAAAAATGTTAGGCATGATTTTTAAATGAATTGACTCTTATGAAATTCAATGTGACTTGGCAACATTGGATAATATTAGATTTCTCTGCAAAGCAACGTAGTTGGCGCAGAAGCGGTAATACAGCGTTGTAACCTACTTATGCGCAGTTTGGTTGTATTCGTCGTCGTACTACTGTGTTCAGGTCTATTGTCTTCGCTGTTGCGTATTTCTAGTATCCTAGAACGTGTAAATATGAAAGGAAGACATTGAGATAGACTCAATAGAATGACCCTCTAGAACAAGTCTTACACCTGGTAGCAAAAATGTATTAGTTGACTACAAAAATGTTTTACTGCCTCCTTTTTATATCAAACTTCTCTTGACGAAGTAGTTAGCTAAAGCCCTAGACAAAATGAACAGTGTTTCAAATATTTGTGCGAGAAATTTCCACCCATATCTGATGCCAAGATAAAAGAAGGTATTTTTCTTGGGCCTCAGATAAGAGCATTATGCAAAGACAACATTTTCAAAACACAATGATCAATTTCGAGAACAGCTCCCGGGTTTCATTTAAAGAAGTAATTATTTCTTGGGAACTCTAAGGACGAAAACTATGTCTAGGTTGTAATATGACTTTGAAAGTGCATTTCCTGTTTTCACAATTGAATTGTTTTCCTGAAAATCTTGAAGCAGTTAGAATAGGGAGAGATGGAGCATAACGAAAATTTCACTCAAAAAAAATCTGAGTAAATTTTTTTTTTTCACTTTTTTTTTAAACTAGGATTTCACTTTTACTGAATAAAATAATAAACTCTTTTATAAATACCGTTTTTTTTTCCTTAAATATTTGCAAAAAAACCTTACGTGATACAAATAAGTACATAGAACTTTTGAAATAAACCTACCAAAATCATCTAAAAAGCAGTTTTTAAAATAAAAACGTCTGTCAAAAAGTTTAATTTTGTAGACCTGTATAATAAGATGCATTATTATAGTAAATTTCATACAAAAAAAAACCTTTTCAAATATTATTTATTAGTGCAAAAGCTGATTCGTTTTTATGGAAAAAAATTGGAATTTACTGGTTTAATTTCTAATTATTTTCTAACACTATATCCAAAACCGTACAAACATAATAAGTGAAAAAGACACGATTTAGTTCAATCTAAACATTATTAACAGTATATTTTTCAAGAACATTGGCATATAATCTGAACTGAGATGAAACAGCCGCTGACAGTCGTGAATGCGACAGTTTTCTGTGTTGGCTGTGGCATTTTTGAATCAGTATTTTCTCAAAGAAGCAGTCAAGCAAAAGTTTTAGATATACAAGCTTCTTGATCTGTAACGGCTAGTACTCTAGTACCCTAGTTTAACAATCATTTAGTATATTAAGTTCTACGTCGAAAAGATATTTCAACTTGCTTTGGATAATGTAATTCTGGCAAATACATCTGAAAACCATGGTAATTAGGGGGCAGGTACTGAATCCACAGGTCGTAATAAACGAGGGAAGAATGGATGACTTGAATAGGTTCAGATATCTTAGTATAGTTCGCCCAAAAATATATTTCAATTTGACGCGTCAACGATTATTACGTCATCGACCACAATCTCAACTTCTTCGTCTCTGGACATCGCAAGTGACTAAGAAAATTGAATAATGTTAGTATTTGGTAAGAAATAAGTTGTAATAAAATGTATATAGCACCTCAATAAAAATGGCACACTGAATCTTGAGAAACAATTGAATAATAGTAAGATGGTAATTACTAATTGAAAACACAATGAGGAATAGAAATACCTTCCAAGCTTCGTCGGCTAAGAAAATACTGTTTACAGCATATTCTGATTTCACCAACCCCCACAAATCAACCAATAGCAAACTGGAAAAACGTCCATTATAAATCAATTATCTCCATAAGATATTGCTTTCCTTGGAAAATATTTTGGAGTCATTATATTATGAGCTACCTCAAGTAGGGACTGTTTTAGTAAGATTTATAAAAAGCACACTAATATTAATTAATATAATAGTTTAATAAGAAAAACCCTACTCTTAAAATACAACAGTCCGCACAGCACAGTTCTTGTCGAATAATATCTTAAATACGGCCCTGACTTGTGGAACGCGTTTTATAACAGGAGGATCTTAAACTCATTCCGAAGTCAAAACCATCAAAGATTTCAAAATCGGTATATCGTTAGGAGAACTTTACTGTCATTAACAACAAATGGGACTGTGTCGAAGAAGTAAAAAAACGAAATGGTATGGCCAGATGGCCATTTTTAAATTGAAAAATATCCTTTTTCAACAATCTATAACTTTGGATCAAACGTGGTTATAAACTTTTAACGGAATTGAAGCCTAAATACACCGAGGACGTGTCAAACTTTTATAAAATGTAAAATTGAGAAAAATATCATATCTCGATCATATTATAACATATATTTTGTGAAGTGATCGATATGCTTCACCGCAATTAATACTTCAGGGTAGAATTGAAGGAAAGTGTTCTCGTCAGGCATGGAAACAACACCCTTATATTCAATTGATGAAAATGGACCTGCGAGGTGCCTATGGGACACGAAGAAGAAGCAAAAGAAGTACACGTTACCAAAGCTCCAGAGGATTAAATGTGAACTAATTTCTCATCCGTGAAGGTTTCTAGGCGTACCTGATGACATTTCAATCGACGAAAAAGAAACAAAACCTCCGAGATTGACCTCATTGCTTGATTATCGCGTTTCAGTAGTCGTTTAATGGGATGGGTAACATGGGTAGCTCTAAAGATGTCGTTATCTAGGACGCGAAGGAAAAATCGCACCTCACGTCCTCGCCGTAAACAACGCGTAAAGATTTTCAAAATATCTTCGGGCGCCTGTTTATCTCGCCTTGTATGGCGCAAAAATGTACGTGACACAGTAACACGGTACGAGGATGGCTATTTAGCGAGGTGTTCAAGTACACGACTTGTTTTGCGAAAATAAACCAGAGGTAAACCAGATTCCGTTGGACACGTTACGTAAGCCAAACACGAGAAGCGCATAGGAGAAGAGACAGCAAAAGAGTGTAAAAAGCTTTTGAACAATGCTAATAAATTAGCAATTAGAAACGTGTTAGGAACATAAAAAACCTCGCACCTCATGTCCAAAAAAGCAACTTGCCCGAGGGAGGGAGAGAAGACGGATGGTTCATAATGTACTTGGATTGAACCATAAGAGTTTTCCAAACTTCTTTTCATTCGAAACCATGGGAACTGGCGTAATGGATAGAAACGTGTAAAGGTGATACTTTTTTCAAACCTGGCTTTGGGGTTTTCCAGTCAGGAAAATCAGCATTATTTTCCTATCGCAGTAGCTCGTATATGTCATTCTTCCTTATTAGATGAGAAAGGTATTCAAGTTTACTTTTAACCATGTTGGCTAGTTTTGGGATTACTTTCCTGTAACCTATGCTATGTGTATTAGCATTTAAGGAGTCTCTTCGCCTCGAGTTTGAGGTTGTGGCACCTGAATACCTAGCAAATGCAGATCTCATGAAGCGTAGTTTTGTTGAAATTGGTACGTACTTTAAATTTCCAATGCCTAGCGGTTCCGATGTTAAAATTTTAGTGAGGTATCGACTGAGTAACATTCTACCCAGCGTAGAAAGCTCGAAGTTAGACATAAATATAGTTCAATCTTTAAGGACGATTTATGTACATGCTAACGTTACTGTGGAACCAATCTTACGTGCTATTTTCCGTTTTTAGAGAGTTTTTCTTCGTTTTCTCATTCTTATAAAACCTTTAGCTTTGGTTAATTAGACTATAAAGATATAATTTCGTCGTATTCAAAACATTTAGAATATCTTTCTAGTGGTCTGTTATCCACATTTTTTAATTTTTCTGGATTCATTGATATCTAATATTAAATATTAAAATTCAAATTTTCTCAAAAACCGAAAAAAAATCTTTTTAGCGATGTAGAGGTTAACAATAGTTTTACATTCAGCTTTTTACGAGGTTTTTTATTTCTGTAGATAATGCAAACTCTACAGTTTCTGCAGGAGCATGGGCAAATGATAATCGATAAGGATGCGACCTTGGAAACAATATGTATTTAAGATTTATTTTCGAATATAGAAATGTATATACACACTGTAAAAATCAATCCTTTTCTTTTTATCACGTTTTTTTTTTTGTTTTCAACCAATAGTCTTGCAGTATACTCATGCTCTTCTAGGTTTACAGACTATTGTATCTCTTAATTTTTCAAAGAAACTTCCACAGGGTACTGTAATACTTTTTGCAAAACTTCTGGATTCCTCCTGCGTCGGTTTTTGCGGAGTCGAACTTGCCAACGTTTCGTCAATCATCCTGTTGGCTTCTTCAAAACTCATCAAAAACCGACGCAGAAGAAATCCAGAAGTTTTGTAAAAAGTAAGTATATATCTTGTTGAGTGTGATGGCATATCTTGTTAAGCATAATTTTATAGGGTCATCTCGCAAACACTCTTCTTTCTCAAAATTTTGTACTCATGAAATTGTTTTTTTTTTATAAATATTATTATTAGACGTGAGTTCATTAGTATTTTTATTTATAATAAAGCTCATGGTAGATACATTCGTTGATTTCAGTCCTCTTAGATATTTTGGAGAGTGCCAAAATATCATTATGTAAGTATCAAAATATACTATCAAATGATCAAAAACTATCGAAAGAAGACGTCCTCGATATCGGTTTAAAAAAAAGTGCTTCATTTATACATGTTTTGCCCCGACGACGGTGTCGTAACATCGTTCTCTAAATCCCACGGACCGTGAAGCGTAACATCCAACACCTAAACCTAAACTGTACACCATCACTGGTACCTATTCCAACCAGCTCAACACCAACGGATCCAAGAGGCAAACATAACTCGCCGTACCTGAATATAGTAAAGAATAATCCGAATGGCAACCAGTTACAACACGTTTTCACTCGCGACGCGCATTTCGTAGCACCGTAGCGACATCAACACCACTACGCGAGACCAGTGCGACGATCCAGCCTGGCTCGAAGGACCGCACAAACGAAAAACATCCCGAAAAAGGATAACAAACGGATCCAATATGGCGCCGTACACACTCCGCAGAACACCGTTCGATACTGTAGACACGGTTTCTCTTTCTCTCTCACGATGGCCGAGAGGCGAGCCAGGCCGACAAGAAGAGAAAACGCGAGGGAAAAAGATGGAGGTATGTGTTTTCGTGGCGCGACCGGTGAACGCGGACAGTGTCCGACCACACCAATATGGACGGGAATGCCTGAAGCACAGTTTAGCCCCAAATGGGTGCCACAAGGCATCTGCCTCGGCCACACGCTGATTAAAGTTCATAAGATTAAATTGCCTTTCATAAAGTAACACCTTCAGCCCCTAAACCACCTCAAACTTGACAATCCACCATTCAAATCTGGACAACAAAGCCTATTATCAATGAACAGCAGAGCAAATTCTGCGCAAATCCCTGAGATATAAGTACTCAAAGCTGAGAGCCGAAATCCTCAGTCATGAGGATTATACCCCCTCAGAGAATAACGCGTTTTACAAAGGATAAATGTGATGAAACCACGGAAGGCTGGAATATCGATCATACACAACAAATCCTAAAACGTTCTGTATCATTTTTAATCAAAAGACAAAGGAATATTCATTTAAAAGACCACTTCAGATTAAATCAGTGACCTACCAAATTGGAGCAGTGGTTTTTCAATTAAAGTTCTGTATTCTGTTTTCTTTTTAAGTTTAAGTTTGTTGATTGCTATATATTTTTTTAAAGTTTGATCTGTTTTTATATGCTTCATATAGGCATTGATATTTTCATATCCTCACTAGTTTACGTCATTTTTTTTACTTTTTCCGATGTTTCTAATCAAAATTTTATGAAATAAAGATATATTTTATTCTTATAACTTTACGAAGCCCCTCAAGGCTTATAATTGAGTCCTAGCGTCGACTTGATCTCCTAATCACATCGAACTGTGTAAAACCTTTCCTGAAAGTACCAAGCATCAAAATCACTGAGAACGGTGCACTATCAAGAGCATGGTACTAAAAGTTACTAGACCACATATCTAGTTCCAAGAATTAATAGTAATTGTAAACTTCAAACATTATTACATGAACATTTATTCACAATGTGACGGTGTGAAAAGTGAGAACTTATTTGTATTAGATCACTATATTGACTCTACAAGGGTAAAAGTTGAAGTTTTGGTTAGTTTTTAACTCACTAACCGGCATTTTGCGCCGTTTTCTTTCTAAACAGCAATTTCACACTTAACTCGTTTTCCCAGAACATTTAACGAGAACTGGGCATATTTTAAGAAAATACTACCGATCTGTTAACGGCTATGGTGGTTGTTAAGGGCCGCAAAAAATGTTCCTGTATTATCGACATAGACAGAACCTCTATATCTCTATAAGGGTTGTGGTTAGTTTTTTCAGTCCCACAGATTTACAAAGCTGATGATTTTTGGATAATGCGTTTGGTGCAGAAAAGTCAATCCCCCCATAGCCGAAGACGCGGTACGTAATTACGGCCGTTCAGGTTCACATATTCTTACAGGTATCCTCCAAACATCTACCTGACACAAACCGAAAGACGGAGCAGGTAAAAAAGGTTTAACATTCTCCGCCCTAATGGCTTACCTTTCGACTTAAATCGTAAAACTTTATGGTTTTATACAAACCATTTGTTCCGATATCCGTTAGAAGATTGGTTTGTTTGGGCACGGGTTCGTCGTTGGTGTAGTTGACCATCGCATTTGCATATTTTGAATGTGCGGTTTCTGACTGTTTATTTCGCTCTGCTGAGGCAATGACAATGATTTGTGTTCACGGTGTAAAACTTTCGATAACAAAACAGTCCCTTCGCGAGTTATATATGGCAGTAGCTCCAAATCTAACGACCAAAACAATGCTTTTCGACAATTTTCCGAATACAAACTACCTGCTACGCTTAAAGATAAATCGAATAATTTAAATGATCTGGGCCTCAGGTACTTAAGGACCGCGCTGTTGCCAAGGCATGAAGGAAGTCGGCAACTACTACTCCATTTTCAGTCACTGAAAGGAATGTGAGCAAATAAATAATCACACTTTCCAATAGATCGATCTAAGATATAAACTGCAGCATTAAGGCCGTGATAAAGAAGTGAGGCAAATTTTACATCTGCTCACTTATATCAATTTGAGACTGTGTGTGGAGTGGGACGACGTTCTCTTTGTTTAGAAATGATTTAGCGATATAGTTCTTACTTTAATTATTTAATATTTGTAAAACAAATTATTATAATCTACAACATATTTATGTTATTTCAAAAATGATTTTTTTTTGTTTCAAATTTTTGTGGAAACACTAACTCGATAGGTCATGCAAATGACAAAAAAATACGAAGTCTGGCAATGTCGCCGCGTACCTGTTACGTGAACGGACGTCAGAAAAGCCGGTTTTGCATTCGACGCGGGTGACTCACCGTGCAAGATTCCCAGGAAATTAAAATCTACGACTCTAATTAATAACACTTATTAATTTTCGTTATCTCGCGTGCACAATTCGAAAAATATTTAATCGGTCCTTTCATCGCTGATAGAGAGAAGTCCAAACGCGTGGGCGTTAAAAATAACCTGCCGATATCACATTGAAGCAGTTTGAGGCAGGGCCTATTGTGCTCCGACACTTTTTCTTAGCGAGATCAGAAAATCAAAGAGACGCGCGAACGCAACAAACTTTAAGCAAATTTTAAGGTTATGTTTTATATGTAGGTATTTTCACACTAAGCAGTAAATGAAACACACAAATTTGTAACAGATAATCTTGAACCTGTCTCGCAAGAACAATAGAAAAGGACGCCCACGCGAATTTCTTCCTTGCCTATGTAATCTTTTTTGGAATACAGGCTAAAACTTTCCCCTGCCCTTTCGGCCGTCAGGTAGCTGCAACCGGAGCGTGTAAATGACCTGAGCTAACAAAAAAACTGACGCATGCCGCAATAAATCAAGCGGTGTGGGAATAAAGGGCCCGATGAGTCACACTCCTGAGCAGGTGGACGCCCAAGGAAAAGAAACTCGTAGCAACGCACACGTGGTTCCGAAGATAGGCTTACCGCCTGCCAATTTGAACGCGAGGTCGATTAGGCTTTTTCGTATATACTTTAACATTTACCGCGAACCTTTCAATTTTTTAGGTTTATCCAGCCTTTAAAGATGGCACGAAACGTATCATCGCCACTGCATAGATTTAATTTTATATTACTTTTTTCGTTTGCATTTTAAAGCTTAGAGCTCTTAAACTACTAACGTCGGAGTGTAAGTATCATTTATCTTGATTTATTGGCAGGTGCGCCGTAACTTTTATTTTTATGTTTTACCGTCCTTAATATCGGCAATTATATCATTAAAAAACTATAACTTCTTCGTCAATGATTTTCGATGGCCCCCATGATTTATGACGTACTTAAAGCACCCTCTATAAACACAACGTTACTTCTCAATGTAGCGCGGCGATTTCGAACACCCCTTTCCAAGAAATTGTATTACGTAACATTGAACCCTCCTACGCAATGCCCCCAATATCGATTTTTTACGATCACGCCATATCCTGCATCACTAATCCCCCGTGGCGTAGAGCCCGGAAGTAAACGCGGGATAGCATTTTCGTTGAGCTATCTGCGTCAGTTTTCATGGACCAAATCATTTATCCTTTTGTAACGTAATTGGAATGAATCGACTAAAAACCTTATGTAACTTAACCCAAAAGTTAACGAGTTCGCTTAATGTATGTGACGCCACTGCTTTGGAGCCAATTCCGCGAATTCCTGGGCGCCGACAAGACGTAAAGGTGAAGCATCGTCATCGATTAGGGATGTACTACCAACTTTTTAAATTGTTAAAATAACTTTTAATTCTACTCCAACGAGAATAGAGACACGAAACAGTAACGGACGAGGAAAAGCAGCAAAATAGAGTCACAAATGGGCACTGTGCGAACGGGGAGTAGGGATATTCCGATACTAGTAAATACGAGTAGGTACTCGATACTTTTGATTCGAAACCAAGTATTTATAGCATCGATCAATCTTGCGATACTTACTCGGTATCGAAACAAAAGTACTTTGTATCAAATCGAATCAGCCTCACCATTAAAAAAAAAACCGAACGCATCAGACAAACATAATCTCCATCTGATCTATGGTGACGCGTTGTCTCGGGCCAGCCAAGCCGAACTCGTCCGACTTCACTCGACCGAGCCCGAGACAAAAGCGAGAAAAACGTCCGCCCTTCATTTTTTTTCATTGTCAAACATACAAGAGATTGCTTACAAATAATTTTATGTATTGTAATCATCGGCTTATTATTCCAATGTTATCATAGAGTTTTTTGTTTAAAGTACGTGCTTAACGTGACGTAAACCTTTATAATAAAAGTTTTCCTTTCCTTCTTAATTTTGTTTTAATTATTGTCCTTTAACGTTCATTAAAATAAATAAAAAAATAATAAAGTGCTAAAAGTATCGATATGAGTAAGCATCGATACTTTAGGAGTATTTATTTGAGTAGTATCGGAAAAAGATTTGTGTACTATCGAAATGAGTAAGTATCGATACTTTAATGGTATCGGAACATCCCTAACGGGGAGTGAACACTCTAAAAGAAATATATTATTTAATACGATTGCGTATCAAAAATTTCAATTATCAAAATTTACGTAGACAACCAAGCATACACGTTTAGAGCCGATTCTTCGTCTCACCACTACTGCGGATATGGAAAATTGCGCAGTAGTCGATAGCCCAATTTCAAACGAAAATACTTTATTTTATCCGTGCCACTGATCAAATGCTCTAATATTCGGCGGAATGTAGGATACAGTGAAAACTACAGAATGTTAAGAATATCTCGCAAAATAGTATCTACAGGATTTTTGTTTTTTTCATTAAAATACACAACGTTTTCGACTGTTTCTTGTACTTCTTCCAGTTGTTTAAGATGTTCGACCCAGGCGCACCGTTCAAAGTACCCTGGACAGTCTGGGGGTTCATATACGCGTTGCACCCTCCTCCGATAACATTCGTCTCGGTCAAGCGTGAAGTAGTACTTCAAATCAAAGACTTCAGTCAGTGGCCGATAATTAAATATACAAAAGCCTTCAACGATGACGATACGAACGTCTTTTGTCTTTTCAAAACACTGCTTCCTTAAATCGCAATCCGTGCCATTTAAATAGTTTATAGTATGCTTTCTCGTTTTCGACGTTTTGTTGGAGCCAATGTACCTCCTCACGTCGTTGTACATGCCTTCCATGTCGAGCGAGGACAATATATCGAAGTTGATGTGGTTTAGTTCAGGAATCCACACGTGTCTCGGATCATTAACCGGCCAAAAGTAATCATCTTGCGAGAATATCTTGCTGCCCGGAAAGATTTTGTTTATTTCACTTGCGGTGGTGGTTTTACCGCCACACGTAACTCCACTAATGCCTATCACGAGCAGGTTGGAATGCGACATGTCTTATAGAAAACGGAAACGCGCATTGACATAATTCTTGTTTGCCAAAGCCATCGTTTATCATTGTAGAAACTGGTTTTTCATTAACATTATGCAACTGCGATTACGATACGTAAACACTAGCGACCTAGCGATTGAGTTATCGACCAATAGCGTCGGGGCGTCATATCGTGTTTCAATTTAGGTTATGTTATATTTTATTTTTCTACTGTGCCCTATTAGGAATGAAAACCACTCTACCTAAATGTCCGACCGTAATAATTGAATCACTTTCCTAAGTTCAATATTCTTTTTCAGGATGCAGATGACTGCCCTGCTAACTTTGTTTACAGATTATGGGAAATAAATTACCAGTGCTGGGTTGTACAATGATAATGAATCCTTGTTTTTTGAATAAATATTATTCGTCTATTTTTTTTCAAAACCATGGCATAAAAAATATCGCGACCAAAAATAAAACAGCAGAATTAGGTTCCATTTATTTATTTATTGTGACAAAAACAAAATACAGTCAACATTTAAAACAAAACCGCGCGGTGAACTAATTATATTATTTACGGAAAGGCACAATCAAGTATATAAAAATTATTATTGTACAAATTGCTTCGCTAACTACGAATTTCGAACGAGCCCATATTTTGTTGGATGTAGAATTTATCGGTTTTGTAAAAAAACGAAAGTGCAGCGCTAATACATATATGACGCGATAGGACAGGAAACAAGCTGCCCTTAGAAACCGTGTACCTTCAATTGATCGGGTTTGGCCAGACCAGCTTTAGTCAGCCACTGGCAGATGTTCTCCCGCTGATCACCTTGCAGCTGGAGAACCTCTCCGTATTCAGGGTGATCTATCACAGTACCATTGCACGCGAATTCTTTTTTACATGCTCTAACGATTTTTTTCAAGTCATATTCTGATGAGAGGCCCTGAACCGTGGTTAGGGTCTTGCGACCATTACGTTGTTGAATCCTTATATGAACAAGTCCGTCTTGAACATCATCGTCCGCACCCTTACTTGCATCAGCAAAGGGGTCTGAAAAGAAATTTTCTTTAACAATGCAATAAATGGAAGTTGGTAGCAGTCGACCCAATCATAAAAATTCCTGACCTACATATACAAAACGAGTTTATTCTTCCAATACTAAACGAAGAATGATTAAACCAATACAAGCGGAAAATGACGTAAAATCTATTTGGGTTTGTGCAAAACGTGAAGGTCGCGCCCAGTAATCTCAAAACAGAATCAAACTAGAAAAAACTAACGACAATCAAACGTAATTCTTTTACCCAAATTTCACAATTTCGCGACGATGATTTTAAGCAATCGCATAATCGTCTCGATTTCCGAAAACAAATTTAAGACGCCATGTTGTCTTTTTTTCACCTTACGGTTAAGATTCGGTTTTACCGCAAGGAAGCAAAATCGTTGCACTTACCAAATGTGTTGAGATTCTGGATGGACATACGATAATCAAATAAGATACCAGAAAAGAAAAAGCTGCAAGCTGCACTAAATTTTCTATTTCGATTAGAAAACCGCCTTTTTCTACGACTGATTTACCGCAAATTCTCCAAGAGAACCAAAAGAGAAAAACTTCAGTATATGGCCAAAGAATCAAACTGCGACACACGTTTACGTGTGTGACGGGCTACCAACCTAATAATTTCAACGCACAGTCGAAATAAATGCACCAAACGAAAAATAAAAAATAACTAAAATAGAATGTTACAACAAAAATTTTGTCATCATGTTTAACGCAGAATGTGTAGGGATCTTTTGATTTGTCGATTTCTAATGATGTAATACCGTGCATAACCCGTAACGCGCAATACACAATAGCATAAGCAGATTGTTTTTTGGACTCTCGGTAGTGTTAAATTCAAACACAACACGAAAAATTGCCAAAACGTTTGGACTTTTCCGCCAATTTAAAACTACCTCGGATATCTATGGAATGACCTCGCTTTGTGGCGCACGAAAAAATTAAAATTATCTGTTCAGTTCACTTCGTTCATTCGGAATTCGGGCTACGAACGCGTTCAATATACCTTTCTCCAGCAAAAGTGCGCAGTATTAAATTATATTATACGCATTTTATTTTTCGTTTTATTTTTCGAGTCCCTACTTTCCACATAATTAGCCCTTTGAGAAAAACTAGAAATAAATACAACGAGCAGTTACGAAACAATATCAACACGATTTAATATTTATTTTCCGCCCCGCATGTCCCGGTTCAGCCACCTACACGACACCACCCTGCGCGCGGGGGCGGCACGTTAATAGAGATCCGGGAAGCGGCGTCTAGCGTCGGCGCCGCCGCCGTCGCGTCGCGTTCCAGATCAGCTGTCCGAATCCGGCGTCGGCGGCTCAACAGGTCGGCATGTTTATAATTACAGTCGGTCCATCTTCCGCGCCGTTATCCAGATGCCTCTACGGAGAGGCTGTTACGGAAACCGCAGTGTCGTCTCGTCGTCCGGGTCAACCGCGGATCCCCTAACCGCATGCCTCGATGCTGATAGCACCTATATTTGTACCGCGTTCAATCCACGCTGCTACATAATTCAGAAGGTAAGTCACACAGGTGCCATATGGGAATGTTTCTCCATAAAATGTGTCCTCCACATCTCGAACATATGTTGACGTTTTTGCTCGCGCGATCATAGGAATGCGCGTCAAAAAAAAATTACGGGTCGCATAATTTTAGGGGATGACGTTTCTCCCTAGGATTGCAGCGTCCTTGTTGATGTTGTTTGGGTGGTGGCGATTTTTATTGGTCGTAATACGGATCTGTGTACCCGCGGGAAATCGATAATAGCGTCATATATTTTGATTCGTCCGAATTATCGCATTCAACACGTGGTATTTCGCGTTTATTTAGCGTACGACGTTATGAATAACGATCGTCAACACACTCGGCAGGTCGGATGGACAAACAATGCGTTTCCGTCGTTTCCAATTAACGAGCATAAGCCGTTTTATTAAAACGAAGAAAAGGTAGGGAATGGAAACCGGAAATTAGGCTCGCCGTACTTTCGCTTGTAACAGATCGGCTACGTAGCAAATATGTGGCGTATTGGATTTGTATGTCAATGGGTTTGTTCTAACCGCAGCGGATATCGGTTTATATGCGTAAAACATAAATTTTATTCTAACCAATCCGACAAGATACTTTGGTTGGAATTGCCTTTAGACACGACTAAATGCAAATAAAGTGGTTCGCGATCCTCCAAAAATAGTTATAGTTCAGCACACTGCCAACATTCCCAAAAATATAAACGTCCGGAACCTGCTACAACTATATAGATTCAAACATTTCAAAGTGATTTTTTTTCAGGTAAACCCTTCACCTACATCGTCTTCAACCATAAGCGGACCGTCAATCAGTGGCACTTCCGATGAACGCGCGAAGAAGAGGCTAGAATGTAACCCGGTTTTGGAGTCGCACGGCTGGGAACAAAGCCAGCCGTCGAATTTGCAAGCCGATTATACGTGTCCGTTGGTTCTGGAAGGTGAGTTTCAAAATTTTCAAGTGTAAAATCGGAAATTTATTTAAATGGCATACGCGATGCGACTAGCGACTGACAGATGGCGCCAGCTCCGCGACTTTCAAAATGTTTCCAACTAGTTTATTAGTTTTCTGTGGCATGCGCCCCTGCGACGGCCATTTTGCCAGTTCCGTGTGTAATTGTGTTGAGTTTTGCAAAGTAATTGATATCGGTAAGCCAAATTATTGTTGATTGTGTAGATTGGTCTGTGATACTTCCGGACGTTCTGGAGTTTGTGCAAGCCGCGTAAATAATAATATCTATCGTGTTAAACATCTGCGGCGGTTATCGCTGTCTTGTGCCCAGAGAACAACGCGTGAGGACGAGTCTGTGTCTTATGGAAGCCGAATAATTAGACACATGCTTTTGGCTAGAAAGGCCGAAATTCGGAACAATTACGTGGTGATACGCGGTGTTGGATCGTACGAGAAGTGAAACTTTGGCGACGGGATTGATTTTCGTTTGAATCGGACGGGTCGGGCTTCGATTTACGATTACAATTCCATGTCTTATTACGTCGTGGTTTAAAGGGTGTATAGGTCGGGAAGTAACCCCGCGAGTACGGTGGATAACGTTCGTGTTTTATTGTGAACAATTCGAATGCGGTCACGTAACATTTTCGACACCAAATTGATCGTGACGAGATAAAATGTCGAGCGGCTCGTGAAAAAAAATCCACTCGTAGCTACTTTGAGGAAGTGTCGGGGCTTGAATTTTCGAGCGTGTGACGCCTTTAGACATGCATTTTTGTAAATGCCGTTGTGGTTACTGAAAACGGGCCTTGTTTATTAAGTGTAAATGACCTTGACGTAAAATATTACACCCATCACTTTCAAAATAAGGTTAGGTTCTACTTCTGCGGCAACTATCTCCACATTTAATACCATGCATGGTATGTACCGTGTTTTATAATATTTAAATTTGTCTGTCTTGTTTCTTGCACAAACTTTCACTCTTGTTAATTTTTTCCCGTGCGGTATTTGCCATTTTAACGGATCGGAAAAAAAGGTTATATTCTCGCGGTGGCTTGTGAATGATTTGGCAGAAACAGTCTGGTAAATTTATATAGCTTTGTTGTTAAATAATCGTGCCATATTGATTTCGTCCATTATTTATGAAGTCAGTGTTTTGCGGTTCGTTTCGAGCAGCTGACGGACGTAATTAACCCTTGATTAAATTACCTGGCGCCTTCTAGCAGTACCTTTGGTTGGATAATGTTGGTTTGTTAGATGATTATTGGGAAATGTTCGAAAATGATGCAACGCCACTATCCAAACTGTTTCTATGCTGTATAGATACACGATATGGCGACTATTAATTATTGGTTGCACCGCGTGTTTCACGAAAAGATAGCAGTGCAAGTTGGCCATGCAATAGTGATTCATTTGTTTGTTTTAATGGGACGTACTACTGGAATATCTATTTCTAACGTTATCGATTTGTTTCTAATGGCAAGAAAGTTTTCGCTTATCGGTTTATCGAAAAATAGTGCCATTTTAAAGTAAAATACTTAAACCAACATTATTCGATGTCGATTGCGTTGATTTTTATTTGCCGTTTATCAGCGATTCGTTCGTTATGCTTTTTGCGTCAACTGGGAGTAATTTTAAATTCAATAGAAGTCGGGTTAGGTTCGCGCTGCCCCCGATAATCCGAATTTCCCGCCTGCCGCGATCACGTGACCGCGTAAATAAAACAAAAACGAAAGTTGTTGTTAATCCAAGAAACACGCGATCGATGTGAAACCGCCTTAATGACAAATTAATGTAATCCACCGATTCATGCGGTTGGAATTTTAGATTGGGTAAATATTCGTCTGGGTGTTAAACCCTTATACGTCGTTTCGCAATATAGAAAAACACCGCTTTACGGGAATTGAACGATTGGCAACAGTGTCGAATACGATAAATGATCACGGTTTGGATATTAATTGGGGTGGTAAAATTCCAGGGACAAGGGGTCGGTGGGCATTTTTATAGCTCTCTTATTTCGGGGTATTGCTAACGACCATTTAAATATTAAATGGTCGATTTCCCGTTCAGAGCGTAATTGAACCATTGACTTGGGTTTATTTTATTTGAAAAGGTTCAACCGTTCGCTTCTTCCGCCACACGGATTTTTGTTCTGGTGACTTCCAAGGTAACTGTGTATTTACATTTCCTTGCACTTAAAACCGATTGATACAGTATATGCTTTCACAAAAATGGTTCCCAGCTTTATATCGTGCATAAAATATCGCGTGGTGTACTAATTAAAGCTGTTACACTTGTTAAATAATTTATAATTGTCGGTTGGGCAATTTGGAGTTAATGACCTCAACCTGATAGGTGTATCAAATCGCGTATACGTTTTTTTCGCCGTTTCGGTGCGGCCGTAATAGCGTTCGAAAACTCATTTCTCGTTTATGAATCGACATCGCAATAATGCGGCTAGTAATTCGTTGCGAACACTTCGAACATCTGTCGTTGGTGGTTTACGGTTGTTTTTGTCCCGTGCCAAATCATTCGCAAGGCGGTGAAACCCCGGAAAAAATGTCGTACCAGCTCGCGTGACACTTTCGTATATTTAACTTATCCCGACATATTTTAATTTTGTAAATAATAAACGTCGTTACAGGCTACGCGTACATGAATGGGGATGTCGGCAAACTATCCTCGGGGGCGGCGTACGCAAGCGCCGTCCCTGACCCGGCCGCCAGCGCCCCAATGGCGCCCCCAATGCCCGAGTACGTCGCCGTCAACGGGGTAACGGAGGGGGCTGAGGGCCAGCAGTGCCCGGTCGGGGCGCCGCCCTCAGCTCCCCAGGACGTAGCCTCCCACCACCCTCAGCAGCAGCAGCAGCAGTCCACTTATCCGTTGCCCCAGTTAAAGCAGATGCTCTCGCAGCAGCTGGAATATTACTTCTCGAGGTAGGTGAAAAAATTGACCCTCGTCGGAACTACTTTAAGGTTTCCGCCCGACGTTTTCTTTCCAGGGAGAATCTGGCGAACGATGCGTATCTGCTATCCCAAATGGACAACGACCAGTACGTGCCCATATGGACGGTAGCGAATTTTAACCAAGTTAAGAAGCTAACCAAAGATATCAAGCTCATTACGGAGGTGTTGAGGGAATCCCCCAACGTGCAGGTCGACGAGGAGGGGGTAAAAGTTAGGCCCAATCACAAGAGATGCATAGTCATCTTGAGGGAGATACCGGACAACACTCCGATTGAAGAGGTCAAGGTGAGGCATTATTTGGAACACTTCGACTACAGCCCCACAACATGCTGTGTGTGTTTGTTTTTTGCATTAACGACATGTGTAAAGAGACGATCTTGATTATGTCTTCGCATTTACATTTAGTCCTGTATTAACAACCATACTTCTCTTTTTAAATCGTAGCCCATCAAGTGTGTCTCAAAATTGTCACTCCTTATGATTGACTTAAACTGGCATAGATCTTAATGTGCCAAAATGCAAAGTAATGAAATTCTACAAAACCAATAGCTTTCAATATGCTCACCATTTAAACTTTTCGTCAGCAATTATGTATTCAATTTATTTCTTCCATCTTTTAATAGTCTGGCTTTGGGCCATTTGCACCTGCTACTGCCAATCTGTCTTTGTTTTTGTGGCCACTTTTAACTTCCCTTAAATTAATACTTTTTTCCTTAAAGTTATTCTTTGACTAAGTTTAACTAAATGGACTACATTTCCATCGCTTTCTTAATTACTCTATTGTAATTTTTAAATGCTACACTGTGAATCATTGTGATGGGTAGTTTTACATTTACCTTTAACTCAAAATATCGACGTGTTGAAGAAATTAAATAAAAAATTGTCCTTTAGGCATTATGAAAAATTGCTTAGCGACATTTTGGGAAAACAAAAAAAAATTGAGTCGCGTATGAGTGATAATACGTATGACACTAGACGATACTACACTACCATCGTTCGTCTTATGGCTGTTTCAATTTTTTAAAGCTTTGGAGTAAAAATTTTGGATTTTTCAGATTTTTACTAAGTAATTTTACTTTCGTTTTCTTGTGCACTTGTACTATCGTACTATTTCGCGAGTTCCTTTAACATCCATGTTGCTGCCTTTCCCCGCAGAATTTGTTCTTTGGCGAGAACTGTCCCCGTTTCATATCGTGCGAGTTCGCCCACAACAGCTCGTGGTACGTGACGTTCGAGTCGGACGAGGACGCCCAGAGGGCGTACCGCTACCTCCGCGAGGAGGTGCGCGAGTTTCAAGGCAGGCCGATAATGGCGCGTATTAAAGCGAAACCGATGTGCCGGCCACCGCTGGTTCCGGTCGTGCACCCGCCGCCGCCGAAGAACGGTTTCCGTGCGACGCCGCCCCCGCAGGCCGTGTTCGACCCCGCCGCCTACCCGCCCGGCCAGCAGAGGTTCGTTTACGCGGCGAACGGCGCTTCCGGCCAGCCCGTCGCTGCCGCGTACAACCAGGTGCACGTATACGTGAGTAGATAGTCGCGGCGCTTCGCCCTCTCGACGTTAACGCGCGTCATCTTCGTTATTCTTCGCAGCCCCCGTACCAGCAGCAGCAATTCAACGCGTACGTCGCGTGGCCGCCGTCCGCTGCCGGTTTCTTCGACATCAGCAGCGTGTTCCAGGTGAACGGGCTCGCGCCTCAGCAATACAAACACCAGCCGTACCGCTCCAACCCCGGCCGCCCCAGGAAACAGTCCCGGGGCGGGCAAATCCAGTCTGGCGGCGGTGTCGGCGAACCTCAGCAGCAGGTACTCGCCTTTTTCGTGTTTGAAGATCACACAAGGTCGTGAAGATATTTACATGCAAATGAAATAAAATATCACCATATGATATACTTGAAGGTCGTATTATATTCAGATATTTTTTAAAATTGAAAACTGTCCTGATCAAATCATTCTGGTAATAGAAATCATTTTTGTGATATGTGATATACTTGAAGGTTATATTTTATTCAGATATGGTCTGTTCATAGATATAAGAAAGTGACCAATTGCTTTTGAATGGGATTATCCAAGGGTGGTCATTAACATACAATGCAACGAGATTATTACTTCAGGTAAAATTGTGGTCCGTAATAGAAAATAATTGTATACCTACCTGTGTTTAATATTCTTTGGTTTGGTATACTACTTACTTTAAGTTTATTAGTAATCATTCTTATTTCGTGTGTAATACAGCGTGTGTTGAATCGTGTGCGAATCATGCAAAATATGTGCGAGTCTAGTGTATCTCAGGAGATGCACCCGCCCAAATGTAGAAAACACTATTCTATTGAGACCAAGGAAGTTATAAACAACGTTTATTTGATTCTCATTGAACATGGTGCCAACAAGCAAGCATCTTTAAAAGAAACGGCCACATTGACGAAAACGCCAACATCAACTGTATGGAAAATTGTGAATAATCCCATTTCAGCGAGGAAAAAATGAAGCAATGCTGATATTTTCTCGAGTGTAGATGACAGTGTTCAAGATATAATACGGCGTAAAATTTGCAAAGCGTGCCTACATTAAATGTGGCAGAACTACCTTATGGAAGAGTATTCAACCCATGGGTTTTAAATTTAAAAAAATTGACAAAAGGCAAGTTTTAATGGAATCTTTTAGAATTCGGAAATGGCGACTGGAATATCTAGAAAAAATTAGGATTTACAGGGAACCACAAAGGCCAATTATTTACTTGGATGAAACCTGGTTCGACACTTATGATACCCCGGAAAAGGGTTGGGTTGACTCAACTGATAAGTGTAAAACAAACACTCCATCAAAATGAGGTAAAAGAATAACTATTTTGCATACTGACTCTAAAGATGGTTGGATTCCAAATAGACTTTCTCTGTCTGAAAAATATTAAAGATTCTTATCTGGATTACCATGAAGGCACCACTGCTGATTTATTTGAAAGTTGGTTTAAAAATAAACTAGTTCCAAACATTCCTCCTAATGGCGTCATTGTAATGGACAATGCAAGTTGTCACAGTAGACAGTTGAATAAACCAACACAAAAGCAACAATCCAAAACTACATGTATAATAACGACATTTATTTTCACGAAGATTATACCAAAAAGCAATTAATTGAGGTTCTACAAATCTTGAACCTACAAAAGGAATACGTCTGTGATAATTATGCAAAAATTCTAGAGCATACAGTTTTAAGGCTTCCACCTTACCACTGAATATTTAATCCCATTGAACATGTTTTCCCACCATATGCCAAACATATAGAAAAAACAGAACAATCGTATATCCATATTAATAATAATTGATAATAATTAGAACAGGCGATGATAGCAGTAGTGATACTGATATATTATGTGAATAATTTTAAGTAATTTAAGTAGGTAATAAAAAGAATTCGTAACTTTATTTTAGATTTAAACATAAACACATACATAAGTAAATAAATATTGTTTAGTATCTTTCCTTGCTCGGGTCTTTCCTTAATTCGTATCAGTTAGTCACTTTCTTATATCTATGAACAAACTTTATCTTTTAAAATTGAAAACTGCCCAAGCAAATACCTGGATAAAATATGACCATATGATATACTTGAAGATCATATTGTATTCAGATATTTTTAAAATTGTTTGAACCTTAAATTTGATTCATAAAAATTTTAAGAATGGTAATAGAAATCATTATGGTTTATGTTTGTGACAGATAAATTTCGACCATATGATATACTTTAAGGTCATATTTTATTCAGACATCTTTTAAAATTGAAAACTGACCAGACCATTACCTAGATAAAATGTCAAAAATGAAGTCATTCAGTATGGATTGTTTGAATTTTAATTTGATTCATATCAGTTTTAAGGTCTTCAACGCAATTCATTGTGGTTTATATTTGCGACCATTACATCGTTACCTGAGAATTGCAATTACAAATATGACTGTGTCAAATCATTGTCGGAGGATCGTTTAAGGCTTAGTTTTACTCAGTATTGTTTACATTCATTTCAAGATCTATGTCTGTGACCTTAAATCAGATTTAACTGTGGCATCATCCACTGAATAATATTTGTAACTTCATAAATGTTTACTATGGTCGTTTGATATTGAACATAGATTGTTCTGAACATCAAAGGAGTCAATATGCTGGGCGGTCACTTTTTTTATTGTATTGTTTTCAGTTTATTTTCTCAGTGGGGAATTTATAATTAAAGTTGGTTCAAAAGTATTGGTAAATAAAAATGGTCTAAACTGTAAAAACCGGAATATAGGGTCCGTCGAGCGTTCCCAACTTGAGGTCAACGAATGCGTCACAACCCCAGCAGGTTCACCGGGCGGCGTCGCCCATGATGCAACAGCCGCAACAGCAGCAGCCGGGTGGCGGCGGCGGTGGCGGGAACGGCGCGAAGATGTCTTCCAAAATGGCGGGCGGCGGCGAGGGGATGATGCGAGTGGTGGTGCCCGACTTGCAAGAGGCACAGATCGTTAATAGCGCGGGACCGCCTATAGGTAAGTCGAGAATTGCGGTAAGCTTGCAGATGTGGCGGTTACTGCGGCAAGACCTGTGTTATTTTGAATTTGGTATTTCCAAACTATCTTACACAGTTTTCAAATTACCAATTCACTGGTTAATTATGGTTTTATACATGAATACACAAAGGTTTCCGCGCAAACTAATTGCATTTATTGATGATCTTTATATGGCAGAGCTCAGTGTGCAATTTACAAGGCTGCGAGTATCTAAAGAGAAACCAGCATAGCAAGACCTTTTATCTGTGTCTCTCTGCTGTCTACAATTTTAACAATTTTGTGAACTACTGGGATCACATTTCTAAAAATAATTTATAATTGATAATCCATTTCACCCGCTAAATGTACTCCGATTAAGAAGCTTATGTTAGTATAAGAAACAATGATTTTTTTTTCATTTTTTTTTAATAACATACAGAACACATTGGCCTGTGAGATTATATTGTAACAATAATAACATTTTTATATTTATATTATAAATAGTTAAACTAAACAAGCTTGATACACTTTTAGAGATATTATTTGGAAATATCCAATACATATTACTAAGCACAAATACACACAACAAGAAAGCATGTACACTCGCCTGTGAAACACGTTTTCGGAATACAAACCGCCAAGCTCTTTGCAAACTTGACTCTGTTGCGGCATTTTTTGCCATCACTCTTTGTAATGGCAATATCCAAAACACTTTCAAAAAGTCACTTCTGTTGCAAAAAATAAGCAAAAGCAGATGCGGAAGCGTTTTTTTATTGCAACGTTGTCACATTAAAAAACATCTAATAAAAAAATGATTCTGTTTAACGAAATATTATCAACAGATTTTGTTAAGGTTCATTGAGGGGAATTTCTAATTCACCTGTGTTTTTAAAGACATCAAAATATTATTCTGTGCACATTCTGTTTTAAAGAAACCCAGCACTGGCAACATTGTCTTGGTCCGTCAAGATATCACCTTCAACAATGCATGATATGCAATGTGATATATCTAACAGTTTTGGACAGTTTCTTGTTGCTAAGCGTACTGTGGTACAATCGATTGATCTATACCTCCTTTTTTCCCGTCTATGTTGTTTGCAGATTAATTAATTTTCTTCAGGTGCGACGGGTGCATTACAATTTCCTTTTTACTTTTATTATTATTTAAGTAATGTACTACTTTTGAATCAATAAATTTCCTGTCACCTCGTACAGGTTTGCCTCTGATGCACCCCGACGGTACCGTCGACATGTATCGTTTCGCTCCTGCCGCGCCGTTCATCCTCAAGGAAGTGGTGCCGCCACGTCACAGGAGAAAAAAACGCGACGAAGACGGCGTCGGCGCTGCGACGAATGCGGCACAGTCGAACGGCTCCCAAAACCATCCCCTGGCGCAAGGCGCCGTAGGAGGCGGCCCGAAATCGGGACCGCAGTTTGACCTGGTGGACGAGGCGTTCCCGCCTCTACCTGGCAGTCTCGAGACAGGCGGTGGCCCCTCGGCCACGTCCAAACAGCAGCACCAGTACCAACAGACGCAGTCCCACGTGACGGAGAGCACGTCGTCGCAGACTTGCACCGAGATGGCAGCGCCGGGCCCCTGGGGCGCCGAGAGCAGGCTCGCCGACGTCGTCAAGGGCACCGTCAAGATGAAAATCAACGGCGGCGGAGGCAAGGACGTCGCCTCGCAGGTGTACCACCCAGCGGCCGACAACGAACCGCCTCCGCGCACCTCCACGCCTCCCGCTGCTAAGCCCGAAGCCAAGGAAACGATGGTGGACACGGCGGAGACGCAGCTGAGCGTCGTCACGCTGACGCCACCCGTTTCGCCTCAAAAGTAAGTGGGAGGGGTTTACAAGGGGCCGGTACTTTTGAACTACCGCTTCTCATCAAATTTCGATTTAACAAGATTGCTTTCGAAAAATCGACGGTGGGCGGGGCAAGTTCGTAGCGCGAAGCAGCTTGGTTTTTTGTAAAGAAACTGCTTCGCAATTTGTTGTCATAGAGAGAGACATTGTTTTTCTAACGTGCTTCTGTGGACCACTATGGAACTTTCGCAAAATCGATGCAATTTTATTGTGCATACACCCTGTATGAAGTGTCTTTCACATCTCGTCGAACTTCAAAGTTACAGCGTTGTCGAATGATATTTTTTTCAAATATCTCGCGTGCGAACCCTGATACTCTTGACACATTTTACATTTTCATTTATCCCCAATAATTTACCCACAAAAACGACACACCCTGTATATAATTCAAACAATGTTCGAAATTGAGGTTATAGCCCTGAATCTCCCACGTTTCCTGGTATATGAATTTTTCCAGTAGAGTAAGTGGTTTTCAAGAAATTTATTGTTTTCTGAAACCATGCAATACGTGGTAATAGTAAATCGCACATAGATTTGGGGCGAGGAGAAATGATGATTTTCATTTGAATTTTTTCAAATATCTCGAACAGCGTATGTGATAGACGAACACCGCAAATACAAAAATTGTAGCTCTCAATGTGGCCTATAACACTCTGTAAACCAGTTGACCATAGTTGTCGCGAATTTTGATTTACGGCTTATAATTTACTCTGGAAAAGGACAATTTTCAAGGTCTTTTAGATTTTTGTCTATAATTGAAAATGTCATCAAAACAGCGATAATTTTTTTTTATTGGGATTGTGTTACAATGAGGATCACGGGTTTTACGATGTCTGTAAGTGGTTTTTAAAATGTTTCTTCCAATTACTTAAGTACCCTTAATGGCGAAGTTAGTATTTGTCTTTTTTTTAGAAATTAATTTTGTTTCGGTATTGGAAAATAAAACAAACTGTATATCCATATTAGGCAGGCTCGAAATTCTTTTTTGTAATCAACAGCGATCGTTTTTTCTTAAGTACCATCGTTTTTAATCTTTCTTGTTGGCAAAACTGGATAGGCAACTTAAAAAATACTGAAAGAAATGTGGACAAATTCCTTTTATAGAATGTGAAAAAACTAGTAGTGTCTAAATTTCTGCCCAGAATCCATCGACACAATAATTCTTTTAAAGAATGGAAATTAGAGATGATTTTCAAAATATAGATTTAAGTTTAAGGTTTATAACGTTAATACGTTAATTGTTATTAGCTTTTATTAAAATTTTGCGAATTTCAAAATTTCTTTGCGAATTGTGACATTTTTTTGGATTTAGCAACTAGAAATACAACTTTTTTTGCGCCTTAACTTGTTGTGCATTTTGATATTTTGCTGTCTGAGAAATAATTAAAATTACTTCAATTATGCCCATAAAAAAAGTAAAAAGTACATGCAGACGGCAAAAACTGCTCCGAAATGGACGAAAAAGTTCAAAAAATTCAAACTTTAACGCTCGCGGGTTGCAAAATGTGAACTAAAACCGAAAAAATTAAAATGGGCAAAATAGAAATAACCATCAAAAGGGAAAAAACTCAATGGTCGGTCCTCATCATCGTTTCAGGTTAGTTCCTGCTCTCCCAACGAAGTGCACGATGGCCGACAAGTCGACGAAAACCGACGACGCCCTGCTCAACGGTTGCGACGTCGACTCGGGGCCCCCGTGTCCGACCACCACCAACGCCGCGACGATGACGACGGTCTTGGTGCAGACCGACGCCCCTCAGCGGCACAATCACAGCACCATTCCGACGCAGTCGGCGTCGGTCGCGACCACGTCGAACACAGGGTACAGCGGCTCGGCCAGGCTCGAGTCGAGGGGGGGCCCGGTGCCCCCGTTTAGCTCGCCGTCGCCGCCATTGATTGTGAGTCATCTTTTTCCGGAGTGGGCTCAAAGAGTGTTCGAGTCGTTTCGTCCGCAGGAGAATCACAATCATCCGCCTCGCATGAGCTACGCACAGGTGGCGCAGCATCACCACAAAGAGGCGCAACAGCAGCAGCCGAAGGAGTATCACCACAGAGTGTCCTCCACCTCATCCTCCACCTCTGGCAAGTACGCCTCCGGTCCGAGTGAGAAGGGACCGGTCGAGGGCGTTGGGTTGAGCTCCAAAGGCGTGGGGGCGGGGCCGGGGTCGGCGAGAGCCCCCCCGCAGCACGAACGTGATAGTAGTAATAGAGAATCTAGGGGTAAGTTTGGTGTGTGGTTTTGGTGAATGTCGCGGGCAGGACATTTGAACTACGATTTTAGGTGTATATTTAAAAAGTTTCCATCACTGGCTATCGGGGTGGTCTCTAGAAATGAAAAACTCAATTAGGAATTATATCTTTTATAGAACTTAAAATGAAATTCATGTTATCTTATTTAAATTGCAGTATGTGTGTTAACAGTAAATTGAGTCTACTACCGAGACGGATAACTCGAAAGGACATTTTTTCACTGGGTCTTCAAACTGGCGAAATTAAGTGCCAATTAAATAATTCAGAAGGCCAAGTTGCAAAGCTGATTTGTCAGGAAGTAAATTTCAGGGATTCAGTGACCCAAGCTTGTGATCAACATCTGACTTCTGACAAAAATCAGCAAAAGAAGAAATAGTGGATGACCGACAAGATCTTAAAGATGATGGAGGACAGAAGGAAAGTAAAAACTACGAACATCACAGAGTATCGACAGATTCATAACGCCATTAAAAAGGAAATTAGAGAAGCTAAAGAAAGATGGATGATTGAGCAATGTCAGGAGATAGAAGAACTTGACCGTAGGCATGACACGTTTAATATGTACAAAAAAATCAAACAAGTTACAGGCAGACATCGAAAAAGAACACCAGAAAACATTATGGATGAACAGGGGAAATTTATCTGTGAGGTGAACGAAAAACTAAAAGCATGGCAGAAATACATACTTGAACTCTTCAAAGACGATCAACGTCCAGTGAAACCTGAGCAAGCAAAGAATATGGAAGGGCCAGTTATATCAATGGATGAAGTTAAATTTGCCATTGAAATCGCTCAAACCAGAAAATCACCTGGTCCCGACTATATATCATCGGAAGTACTAAAGATTATGGATCAACACTGTATTACCACCTTGACGTCATTATTTAATAATATATATGAAAGTGGCACGATCCCGACTGACTGGCTTGTTTCATCGTTTCTCACCATACCAAAAAAAACCAGCCCCAAATCGTGCGGTGACTACCGTACCATCAGCCTTATGTCACACGTGTTAAAAATCTTTCTTAAGGTAATTCATGCCCGCCTGTATAAAAAATGCGAAGAACACATGGGCGAATCGCAGTTCGGGTTTCGCAATGGCTTGGGAACTCGAGAAGCATTGTTTGCAATACAGGTCCTTATTCAGCGATGTAGGGATATGAATTGCGACGTTCACATGTGCTTTATAGACTATGCTAAGGCTTTCGATCGTTGCCAACACGAGACAATGGTAAGAGTCCTACATGAAACGGGCTTGGATGGAAAGGACATAAGAATCATCTCTAATCTTTACTGGAACCAGAAAGCAACCATCAGGCTTGGAAATGATGAATCAAAAGCCTTGGAAATTAGGCGTGGTGTCCGACAGGGTTGCATTTTGTCACCTTTGTTGTTCAATCTCTACTCTGAGAAAATATTCAAGGAGGCACTAGAAGACACTACAGACGGTGTTAAAGTAAACGGCGAAGTAATTAACAACATCAGATATGCAGATGACACGGTTCTATTGGCCGACAGCTTGGAGGGACTGCAAGAACTTATCAACAGGGTTACACACACAAGCGAACAATATGGGTTGGAACTGAATATCAAAAAGACTAAATACATGGTTACAAGTAAATCTATTAATCAACACGGTGTGCTGTATTGTAAAGACGAAACCATCGAGAGAGTGAGCAGCTTCACCTACCTTGGCTGTAACATCAATGAATCGTGGGACCACTCCAAAGAAATAAAGTGCAGAATAGAAAAGGCCAGAACAATATTCACACAAATGAGGCGCTTTCTCTGCAGTCGAGACTTCAATATGGCACTCAAGAAGAGAATCATAAACTGCTATGTCTTCTCAGTGTTGTTGTACGGGGCCGAGGCTTGGACGTTGTCCGAAGCAACAGAAAAAAGGATAAGGAGTTTTGAGCTGTGGATCTATCGAAGACTCCTGAGAGTTTCATGGATGGACCGAGTCACCAACGAGGTGGTCCTCAGAAGAATGAACTGCCAATTAACTCTCATGAATACCATAAAACAACGCAAACTTGAGTATTTGGGCCATATTATGAGAAACCCCGTCAAATATCGCCTACTACAGCTGTTCCTGCAAGGTAAAGTGGAAGGAAGAAGAGGACCAGGTAGAAGGAGAATATCCTGGCTCACTAACTTGCGAAAATGGTTTGGCGTGACTTCCGTCGATCTGTTCCGCGCGGCAGCCAACAAAATAAGAATAGCCATGATGATAGCCAACATCCGGAACGGATAAGGCCGTCAAAGAAGAAGAAGAAATTGCTGCAGTTCTAGCTAGGAATTGCGCATTATTCTAAATGGAACTATTTTTTATGCAATATAAACATAAATCATGCTACTGAGCCATTTTACTCATTCCTTGACTGGAAAATTCGATAAACGTGTGTGTGTGTGTGTTTTGCATTTTTTAATACTGAAAATTAACTGAGATAAGTTAAATCACAACTTTTAACTCCCGTTAAACCTAATTCGCTCTTGTTCTCCCCAGATTTTAACGGGCCAGATGGATGAAAGTTTTGGTTAATTTTAATACTGGTAGTAGTAGTAGATTTATTTTTTTATACAGTTATTTTAGATTACACATATCGCATTTGATAATCCATTAAAATTTTCAAAACTTCCCTAACGATGCTTTTTTTGACACACCCTGTACATAATTGAAAAAAATCTGCAAATGGAGGTTTTTTTTTTTTTTATTTACGCTTTATTTGGCCACTGCTGCTAAGGCAATTCGGCCAGCTTCTCGGTAGTGGTGTGCAATAAACTATTTCCATGAAGGATGCCTCCGTAAAGAGGGTCTGGGTGATACCATCATCCTACTGGACGGCTATACAGGAAAAAAAAATGGACGAAAGAATTAGAAAATGTGAAAACAATATTCAAAGTTTTAATCCACATGCATCTAAAAAGCGGCAAACAATTCTAGCAGCAAAATCCAACTGAGTGCGGTGAAATAAAATGGAATTAATATGTAGAGGCGAAGGAAAATTAGCACTAATGAGTGACTCATACAACTGTTGTGATTTTTCCCAATGAAGAGCACAATCAAACAGCACATGACTTAAATCGCCCAGTTCTCCACATTCACAGTCTCCGGAGAGTTTGACTTTGATTCTATTTAGGTGAGCCGGAGAACAGCAATGGTTGCTTCTCAGTCTACACATAGTTGTGATTTCTCTTCTATTCAGGTCGAGCTTATGAAACCAGGGTTTAGTTGGCGGAGTAGAATAATGTGAGGTGAAATTAACTCCTTTCCCTAATCCTATATGTTTCCATCTGTCGCTCCAAGCATTCCAGATGTTATGCTTTAATTTAGGTAAGAATTCCCTAAAGCTCAATTTTATATTTTCCTGTGGTTCCAGGCGTGCAGCATTGGCGATCTGGTCCGCAATATCGTTTTCTTTTATACTGGTATGGCTTGGTATCCAGCATAATTGGATGTCCTTATTTTGCGTTTTTATTAAGGTAAATAGTTTATTCTTAACCTGCAAGGTTAGGTAGTTAGACTTTGCATCCATCCCAGTTTTATTGATATCTTCGAGGGCACTTTTGGAGTCTGAAAGGATGACTGCTTTGTTGATGTCCTTGAATTCAATCCAATCAAGAGCTTGACCAATAGCATAAATCTCGGCTGAGCAAATGGATAGTTCACTTGGTAGGCCTTGTCCCATTTTAAGGTTCGTATTGTAGTTGTAAACGCCAAAACCTACTCGGCCTTCTTTATCTTTTGAGGCGTCTGTAAAAATTAAATGAAAATCTGGGGTCCAAGTCTCGCTCTTCTTAATTTCAAATAATTTGGAGTTATTATTATCTTTCTTTAGTTTTAAGTCTTGGATTTGAACAGAGCTTAAAAGGTTCGGCAGTGGGCAAGAAAAACAGGGATAAACTGGGCTCCTGTAAAGTGTATCTAACAGTGAATCAACTCTTTCAAAAGCATCCACAAGTGCAGGAATACTCTTTTTCCGAAAAAAGTAATAGTTTTCATTATAGGTGATATATAACCATCTAACCGCAGCTAAGGTTTCACTGTCCACTAAACTGGCAGCTTTCAATAATGATTTAGTCGCTAGCATGTATCTTCTGTGTTCTAAATCCATTTCACTTGCTTCCCCTAGAAGTATGTTAGTAGGTGTGGACTTCATATATCCCAGAGCTATTCTCAGTGCCTCAAATTGAATTTTGTTAAGTTGAGCAATAGACTTTCTTGAGCTACCACCCAAAAAAGAGGCTCCATAATCCAAATGGGGTCTAACATAAGCTTTGTAAAAAGTTAGAAGGGTAGAGGGATGTGCCCCCCACCAGATTCTACTTATAAATCGCATCATATTCAACCCACCTGAAGCTTTCTGTATCATATTTCTAATTTGTGGCTCCCATGACAGTTTTGGATCAAAAATCACTCCTAGATATGTGATGGAATTTGTCCATGCAATGGTTCGAGTGTTGAGGTGAAGTCTGGGGAGATAATTAACCTTGTAATTCTTCCTGGAAAAAAATATAGCTGCAGATTTATTGGGGTTAATCTCAAGTCCTACATTCAAAGACCAAATATGTATATTTTGCAAAGTTCTATTCAAATTGTTCACTATTGTTTCGGCATCAGTCCCAGTACTCAGCAAGGCGGTATCGTCCGCAAACTGTAAAAGTCTTATGTTCTCAGGAATTGTTTCATTGATTGAATTGATGTAAATATTAAATAGTAATGGAGAAAGAGGGGAACCTTGGGGAACTCCCTTGCTAGTGGTTCTGCCTGACACGAATGTATTAGTAGATGGATCTTTAACTTGTATCTTCCTGTTCGTGAGAAAATCTTTAATGAGCAAAGTCAAATCTCTGGCGATTCCAATTTTGGCCAACACCGAGGTCAATAAGTCAACATTTATATTATCGTAGGCATTGGATATGTCCAAAGTCACCATTGCTGCTAGTTGATTGCGAGCCAAACGGCAGAGGACCTCTGAGGAGATAACTGCAAGATTGTCGAAAGTTCCCTTACCCTTTCTGAAACCGGTTTGGCGAACGTCTATTAAACCTTGGTTCTCTACGAACCATTCCAGTCGGTTTTTGATCATAATTTCAAAAGTTTTGCTTATGCAAGAAGCTAGGTTGATGGGCCTGTAGGACGATAACGCTGAGGGGTCTCTCCCCGGTTTAGGAATTGCGATCACCATTTGGGTTTTCCACGTCTCTGGAATGGTGGTTTCCCTCCGAAGTATTTTGTTGAAAAATTTGATAAGAAAGACTGCTCCTTCAACAGGGAGATGGCTGAGCACACTGAAAGGTACTTTATCCACACCGGGACTCTTGCTCTTCCGACCTTTAACGGCCGCGACAAATTCTGAGATATGGAAGTCTTCTGTATATTCTGATGAGAAGCGACATTCGGGGATATTAGGCAACCTAGAGGGAGGTTGCGTCAAAAGATCAAACATATCTTGTGGGATTGAGAAATTCAAGGGAAAATGATAATTTTGGTACCTGATACCTTTAGCAAACCTTCTAATACTGCTCCAAACTTCTTTTGCACTAGTATTTGGAGATAGATTCTCACAAAAGTTGACAAAGCCTTCCTTTTTCTTCTTACGTAGCAGCTGTCTTGTTTGTGCCCGGGTTCTTAATGATTCCAGGAAGTTGGTCTCAGAGGGGTTGTTTTTATAGTCTCTGAATGCTTGTCTTTTCCTTTTAATAGCGTTGGTGCACTCATTATCCCACCAAGGTAACCCGTAGTTTAATGAGTGTTTATGCATTGGAACAGATTCTGCAATAGATAGGAAAATTATATTCATAAAATCCTCATAATTTATAGGAGGTGAAGTTCTAAATTTCGTGGAGATTAAATCAGAAAATTTCTCCCAGTCTGCCTTGTTGAAATTATATTTGCTAGTGTAGTTTCTTGTCGAACCTGAGTTGCAACGGTTATTTCCGATGATACACAAAATAGGAAAATGATCGCTATTCACTCTATCCTGGAGAACCCTGCAGTCAGTAAGTCCAGACAGTCTCTGGGAGCAAAAAGCTACATCTGGAGCGCTGTGTACGCCTGGGCGTGTGAGCCGAGTAGCTGATCCATCGTTTAGTACCCACAAATCGTGATCCTTAATGAAATCATAAAGAATGTTCCCACTTCTAATTCCCCGTGAGTAACTGACCTGGGAACCCCATATTGGATTATGGGCATTAAAGTCTCCCATAACGAGGACGGGTTTATTACGGGTTAGATCGAAAATTGAATCGAGGCTTGCCCTGACCAAACAAATATCTGGAGGGTTGTAAACACAACAAATAAAAAAATCGACAAGCTCTACAAGAATAACCTGACACCTCTCTGGTATATTAATTCTGCTTAAGTCGATGATATTATATTTTATTTTGTTTTTCAAGAAAATTGCTATACCATCTGCACCATTAGGTTTATCTGCTCTTACAGAAGAGAACCCTGATATTTTAAAGTTAGTGTTGGGTTTGAGCAAGGTTTCATTGAGCAATAAGATCTGTAGCTTAAAATCCCTTATAACTCTAATGATAGCATCTTTATTTTTTTCAGCCCCGCAAATGTTCCAGTGAACGATATTCATTATAGCTCAACTATAAAACGCTTGTGACTAAAACTTAAACTTAGTTTTGTTACGTAAAAACTACTGTTAGATTAAAACTAGTGATAAGATTACCTTTGCTTTTTCTAACCCCTGTAGGTCAACCGCTGCCATCGCAGCCGCCCCCCCTCCGTAGGTCAAATGAACCAAAATATTGTTTGATATTGTTGACACAATTTTCATCCATACCCTTTATTGACATAACGTCTTTTTTGAAAGCTTCAAACTTGTTGCATACTTCTTCCCAGCCATTTCCTACAGGAGTTACTTCCATTTCCGACTCTGATGTCGAGTTTTCAACTACTTGTATAGATGAGACTTTTCTTCTTGCACTTGAGGGTAACAAAGTTAGTTCATGGGCTACTTTATCATACCCTTTGGTAAATTGGGTGTCAGGCCGTTTTCTTTTAAGTACTGATGTATATGAGGAACAGCCCTGAGGACTTGTTGGATGAGGAGGTTTATTCTGAGTTTTTTTATTTAAACTAGGAAAATCTTCTGGTTTTCGGGTAAAGCCTTGGTTTGCATTAATTAGCCGTGGATGCAGTTTAGCTGCTTCATAAAAAGAAAGGTTGTAGAAGCTCATGGTTTCGTTAATTTGTTTTTGCCGTTTGTATTCGGGACATCCCCAGTCAGTAGCAGTGTGGTGTCCCTTGCAATTTACGCAGCTTGGTTTTGGATTTACTTCACAATTTGGAATTTTACACGTTTTAGTCAGATTGTTAAGATGATCTGCAGGGCATTTCATTTTTTTCATTGCTTGCTCTCTTTTTTGACAAACAAACATAAGATGATCTTCTGTACAAAAACCGCAACGAGGCTTGCCTCTACAATTATTTTTGACATGTCCAAATCTGCAACAATTGACGCACATTATAACCGGGTTAACATATTTTTCCACTTCTCTTTCATTATTAAAAATATTTACAGTTTGGGGTAATGATTTGCCTTCAAATGTTACAATATAATCGTTTGTGGGGATGGTTTTCATTACTGTTTCACCAGAAATAGCAAGTATTTTCTTCCTTCTTAAGACTCTTTTTACATTTAATATCTTAATCAACCTGGCCCGGGATCCTTCTCCTGTATAAGCTACCGCTTCTGAGTAAAAATCCTCTTCCGTAATTTGGTCCCCTACATCCTTGATTAGTCCTCTACAAGTGACAAGACGTTGTGGAATGTACCTATTATAGCCTCTAGCAGAACTGAAACTTTCATTTGACAAAAACTGATTAGCATACTCTGATGTTCTGAATTCAATTCCAATTTTATTAGCCCCTTTTCTATTGATTTTTGTTATACCTTGTACTCCAGCTCTGTGCAAAATTTTTCCAATATTCATCGGGTGAATGTTTCCAACTTGAGAAGTTATTCCCTCCATTATGATAAGAAATGGTCCCTGGTCTGTAAGTTCATACTTATACTTTCGGTTAAGTGTTCTCCTTATGTTGACTGAAATTCTTGCAATTTCGTTTAGGGCATCCTGATCTTCCACGAAGACAGATTTAAGCTTTTGTAACTCTGTCTCCAATAAATCTATTTCCTCCTTAGTGGGTACTAAGAAGTATTGATGCTGAGCGATAGCATGTGCTGTTTTCTTAGCTAAAGGCGAAAGCGTCAAGGCTGATGAATAACCACTGCTAGAGGAGGTAGAAGCTTGGGACAAGTTTAGTTGAGCTTGAAAGGAATCAAAATCATTTGCAAACACTATCGGATTATTAACTACGATACGATCGTTTCTATCAGGGGGGTCTTTACCCCCCGAAGCACATGCCATGATATGAAAAGCGCTAAATTATTGCGAACTGCGACACCAAACCAAAGCAAATATTAACGGCTGACTAAATATAAAACTCACCCAGACCGAAAAATTCAGTTGAAGACTAGAATTACGTCAAAAAAATGAAAATTTTCTCGGACCGAGGTAAAATTGTGCACACCACTTCACCTGGTTGACCGAAAAAAAAAAACCAAATGGAGGTTATAGCTCTGAATCTTCCACGTTTCCTGGTCCAAGGGTTTTTCCAAAATTAAATTAAAAGAGCGAATCGATATCATCGATTTTTGAAAAGTAACAAGGTTAAGGCAAAGTTTGCAATAAAATAAGTTGATTTTTCCAGGGGACAACGGCTACAAGGTCGACGGTCCGAGGACGGGGGGCGTTCCCGTCCGAAGTTCCGGTCCCTCGAAAGCGACGGGTGGCGGTCACGACAGGCTGCCCCGCAGAAAACCGGAGCAGCAGCAGCCGGCGAGGCAGCCGCCGCAGATGCGAGACTTCATAGCCCCACGATCGCCGAAATAATAAGGGACGCGCGCCGCCCCGCTCGCCGCCCCCGCCGCTACCACTCAGAAAAGGAGGACTCGTGCAAGTGAACTTTTTTCGGTTCGGTTTCGAGTTCTTATGATTTTTTCAATTTCCGTTGTCGTTGTTGTGTGCGCGTGCGCCGTGGATTTACCACTACTGCCGTAATTAATTGGACCGGAGGCATTTTTTAGGTGTTAAATTTAATCCGCGTAACATTTAAAAATGATATAAATGAAACTTATAAAACAAAAAATATATATATTATATTATACGAGGGGCGGGAGGGGGCGGGGGGCGTCACCATTTTTCCGGAAAATTTTCCGCGCGCGAGATACAATATTGTTCCTAGGTCGGGGGGGTTGGGAGGCGGTAGTTAATTTTTTTTTACGAGTAAGAGGCCGCACCGTCGTGAGTCTGTGATCGGTTCGGGTTACGAGGGGCGGCGAACGGGGGGGCGCGTTCCGGGTCTCGCAAATAGTTGTGCCAAAAATTTCGAGGCCGCCAGCGGCGTAGAACGGGGAACTCACAAAATACAGGGTCGCTACTTTTCTGTGACTACGAATCCATAAATTTTTTATTTTTCAATGACTCGATTTTTGTTTTCTTTTAAATGGCTCCGATAACGGAGTGGTTTTAAAATGGAGAGGGAGAGCCTACCCGCTTCAGACATTGCAAAAAGAGGTTTTTCGCGCCCTTTCGAAAATAATAAAAAAAAGAGATCGAGTAGGGTTCATTTATGTACTTTTATATTGTTACAGAAGCAGAGACGCATCGGCTTTTTTCGGTTTATGAACCACGAATTCGTTTTTTTTTTTTAACTGGAGGACGAAATGATTAGAACGATTTTTTTTTATGGTGATGTCAAAGTTTGGTTTTCGCTGATTTTTTTAGGTCAAGGTTTATTTATTTTCATTTAACGATGATTTGAAATAAAAGCCGCTCGCGGAAGTTATATTGGGTTAACAGAACCGACTAAATGGCCGTATTCGCGATGGACTTATTTTATTTACGTGTTTAAAATGTGCTGGCCAAAAATATTATTTTGGCGGGTCCGAGAGAACTTTTAACGCGACGGGATGGGAGAGAGAAACTTTTCTAGACTAAGGAAACTTGCCGCCATTTGTTCCCCCCGCCCTGATAGGAGAGGTAGCTGTAGTGTCGTTTTTTGTTTGAAGTTTTTTTTTCAAAAACCACCGGAGGAAAAAAAGTCACGCGCTCTTTTCGCATCGAGTGCGACGTAAAAACTTTCGTTCGAGTAAATCAAACGTACAGTCCGCGTCGCGCGCGACACGCCCCCCCGCCGTCTATCATTCGATGCCGCCGTCAGGCGGCGCATTGTACAGGCTGACTAATACGTTACAGATTATTTTTTGACAAATAATTATTACCATTTTAATTGTATAAGCTGTATAGGAGGGAGTTTACATAGGTTTAGTGTATTATATCGTTGTTGGGTTTCATTTCTTCTATTATTATTTTTTTTTAACTTTTTAATTATTTAACTTAGTCGCGTGTAATGTTCGGCCGTTGCTCATGGCCGCGCCTCGTCCCGGTTCCGTGGGGCGCGGGGTGCCGCGGGGGCGGGCTCCTTCTTTAGCCTATTTTGTGCCTTGACGTATCGGACGTTCTCGCCCAATCCAGAAATCTTCAGTTCGCGTAAACACGAATCAAACGGCTCTCGTTCTCTAGTTGTTTGTATATAAAACGGGAGGGGCCGGACTCCCCTGCGTCCCCGGCCGCCCCCCTCCCCACACGGTGGTGATATTATTATTATTATTATTACTGTTATTGCTGTCTTTCGGGTTTTGCACGCGCGGAGTTCGTTCGGGAGTTTATTTTCGCGAATCGGGACTCGTTCCTCGAGTTCAGTATTACCGTTGCGAATATTATGGTATAGGTTACAAACGCCGCAGGATTTTTGTTTACATGGCGAGAAAAATAGTTTCTAAGACTTGTTTTTAACGAGTCCGCGACGAAATTTCGCGGACGACTTTGCGAGTGTAAACCCGGCTTCCCGGGCGGGTCTCGTTTGGGGCGCCAAATTCGTTTCCGCATCCCAAAGTAGGTAGACAGCGCGTCAATCGTTTTTTATCTTATTTTCTCGACGAAGCAGTGAGGTTATGTCATGTTTAATCTATCTCCGCGTTCGGAGACGCTCATTAGTCCGGGACCTGCGGGAAACCCGTTCAACAAACGGGCAATTTTAAAAAGTTAAAGTTGCAAAGCTGATTTTGCACAAATTTATTGGTCTGCAAATAACGCCTAACGTGTGTAATGCAAAAAATATCAAATGTAAAACTACTAATTAGAAGAGGTGTATTAGACAACGGGAAAGTAAAATTTGGGAGACTGGCAAAATGGGCAGCAGGGATTTGAAATTTGGCGCCCTCGGGGTTAAGTTTTGGGAGACCTGCGCGTGGGATATAAATAAAAGACGAATTTGATTTCTCGGAAGGCTGTAAATGATTATGCGCGGAGGACTGATAATTTTGCGAGAGTGTCTAGCCACCGACCATAGCAAATTTTGTTGTTGTTATTATTATTATTTTTCTTGGACGCGGCGAGCGTCCTCCCAGGTCGTGGTGGACTTAAATATTTCGCAGGCGCAACGGATTTATCGATAACAAAAGGCAAATGAAGTAATATGCAGTTTAGTTCGTATCGTTATTTATAGGCTGTGTTTGTAAATATATATAAAAAAAAATAACAAGTGTTTTTAAGTGTCAGAGCAACGGTACGCGTGCGTCCAGTTTGATCATTATTTTTCATTGCGTAAAAAAAACTTACATTTAAGACTGCGTTGACGGATGAACGCTTTTCGAGGAGTTTTGATTTTGTTTTTTGTTCGGATCGGATTACGCACCCTGTATAAGTAACATACGAGACCAATCTTAAGTATCTTTAAACAAAAAACGGGCGTGTTCCTCGACGGGGGCCGTACGGACGACGACTTCAGCAGTGCCAACCATTTCGATATTCGGAGAAAGCCCCGACAATAATCCCCACCCGCAGTTTCTCAGTAGTTCACTTGTACCAGTGCCACGTCAAAGTATTTTTACAGTTTTTTAGGGTTAAGTTTCGGTTTGGCGCGACGAGGACGCGAGAAGTTCAAACGCCCCAGCGAGAGGAACACGCTTAACAAAAAAAAAGCATCGCTTGCTCTACTACCGTAGCTTGTAAAACGAATTTTCGAAGTCTCTTATGTTCGGTAATCGGATAGGGTGTGTTACTATAAGCACATATGTATATTTATCTTTAAAATACGATTAGTTGAGGTCTGCTATATTATTTTCTTCTTGTGTGCAAGTTTTTACCCTTATCATACTTACGTTTACGCGGGCGGGACCGCGGGGACCTCGTTTTTCTCTCTTTTTTTCTCGTTTCCGGGGACTTTTTCAGTTTTGCGGAGTACGCTTGGTTTTTCCTTCCCGGGCACTTTGGGCGGCGTTTTCGGGCGGATCGCGACGAAATAGTTCTAGTCTTATAATCCATTTTTGGGCGCGGCGCCGAATGGGGGGTGTGGACGAGTGGGCGTGTCCATTTTGCCGACAATAACGAGTGTGCGCCAATCAAAAAACTTGAACGGGTTCGGCCCGCGCTGAACGCTGTAAAATTATCATGGTGATGGGTAACTTTTATATCGAATAAAACGCGTCAGCACCGTCCAAAGTTCCGAGCTAGCGCCGCGGTCTCGCTTTATTTATATAAAAAAAATATGTTTTTTTTTAAGCTGTAATGATAAAGCTTCAAATGTTGCCCAATTAAAATTGTTTTTAAAAAGCCCAACCACGGAGTTTTATTTCGTTAAATGCGCAAAAAATCGCGGTAGTCGTGTGTGAGAGTAAACTGGTAGTGGTAGTTCATTGATTGGTGATAAACATTCCTGTGCCTACTTCACATGTACGTCAACCAAAACTAATGTTACTTTTTAATATCTTATTTGCCATAAATATTAGCAGAACATTTTTTTTAATATAAGGAAATTTTTTAATTTTTCAAAGAAACTTCCACAGCTACTGTAATACTTTTTACTGGATTCCTCTTGCATCGTTTTTTGTTGAGTCGAACTTGCTAACGTTGGCTTCTTCAGAACTTAACTGAAACCGGCTCACATTACGCTCTGTACCTGCTTATATATTGAGGGCGGAGCAAAATGAGAGGCATAGACACCGTCTCGGATGACTGATTCCCATATTAAGAGTGTTAGGTTGCTCATAGATTTCTATAGACTCGGATTTTTCGTTGGTAGAAGAATTGATTACATGCAAGAATTTTATGTCCGGTCTCGTGATTGTGTTCGGCAACTGCTGAGTTTATTTGTCTTAGTCTTAAGGCTTTTTCATGTTGTTTGAGCCTAGTAGATATTTTTCATCCGGTCTCTCTAATGTATTCTTTGCCGTATACGCATGGAATGCTGTAAACTCCTGGCATCTCAAATGGAATGTTGTCTTTGACAGATGGAAGATTTTGAGAGATTTTTGGACAAGTGGTAAATCTAGTTTTGACGTTATATTTCTTTAGAACTTTTGAGGTGTGTGTATGAACTTTTGAGTAATGGGATTCCTTTCGGTAACATTGCTATTGGAAGGTTATGCTAAAGTGTATTTTGGATAGAAAGTTTAATATCTTTAATCTGGCAATTATTAGAGAGAAGAGCAGAGGTAAGGTGTTTTAATTCCGGGTTCAGTGTTGACGCGTTTTACGGCTCCGCAAACGAGAGTTGTTAAATGATGATTTTTGGGCCGGATGGTGATGTGACAATGCATTAAGGTATAGATAGCTGTGTGCGTAGGTTTTCTGTAAATACGAGGGCAAAATGTTAAGTCTGAGTTTATTATTCGATGGTAAAACGTATGTTAGGGTGTATAGAGTTTAAAATCGATTGATCGAGTCCAAATATAAGTTTGATCGACGTAGCGTTTCCATAAATATATTCGCGATGACTGGTGATATTTAAAAACCCATAGCTCTTCCTGACGTTTGTTCCAAAAAAAAAAAAAGCAATGAAAGGAACCTTACACGCCAATCCCCCTTAAGTAAAACGCCAGTGTTGAGTGCATCTTTATATTTAAAATATGGGCGGTAAGGAAGAGTTAACATATCGAAACTGTACTCTACCAACGTTTAACCGAAACGAACCACGAGTAAAAAAACAACGGACCTTAATAAATAAATATAGTCTTTTTCACATTGCGTAAGTGCTTTTGGTGGGCTGCTCTTCCTCCTGCATCCCTGCCGATTTTTTGACGTACTGAGGATTGACCTAAAAACGAAACAGCGCGTTCAGTTCATAAAGTAGTCAATAAGCTAATTCTTGTTCTTACCTGTATTTCCTCATCCATGCACAAAATTCTAGTATCCAATTCCATGCAAAGGGACAACTGCTCTTCTAGACTTTTCAAAACTTGAGGGCCGCTAAACTTGTCCGGTTCATCTTTGAAGACGACCATTCCGTCTTTTTGATTAATGGTTGCATAAATTTGGCCGTTTTCAATCTATAAACCATGTGGAATGGACCTCTCTTACGATGACAGCAACAAATGGGTAAAATTGACGGAGACAATAGATGTTTGTAGTTAAAAAAATAGGTGCAAAAAAAATTGTGGCAACCAAGATGAGTGTTTCTGGTAACAACACCTTACCATATCTAATATGTGCTTTTCCGCGTCGCCAGGCCCTGGCAACCCCACGCGACTGGCGACATCTGAGAGGCTCAGTGTTAAAAACGTTTTGGTGAGCCGCTGGATGTTTTTTTTGTAAAGCACCGCCGATACTTGCTTTATCAGGCCCATGTTATGGTCCCGCGTGAAAACCTACAAACATAGCGATGTACGGCATTCTTGCACCCCCCACAATCCCAAAATCCTCACTTCAGAATGTTTACTAAGTACACTGTTCAGTTCTCCGTGATTATTGGAGGTAAACGCGTTAGCTAAATCGTGATAAGGCTGAGACAAAGGTTTAATGAACCTTGTAACTACTTTGGAGGCATATTTCGGCATTGGCTGTATCTAAAACGAGCAAACTACAACTTGAGTCGACCTCGAGCCAGGTCAACACCTCCTACATCACAAGGTCGTGAAACGCTAAAGTATGAATCATCACATTAAGGAAGCAATATATTGTATGTTATTCATAATATCAAACAGAGTTGAAAGGGGTTAAAAATGTTTCAATTGCGTTATATTATTTTAATGATTAAAATATAGTACAAATATCTAGAACAGGTAAAAATGATCGAGAAATTAAGACCGAGATGGTGGCAGATATTTTTAAAAATTTATTTTAATTATTTTTTTTTTAATGCAAAGTCTCTAGTTTAAATAATTAGGTATTATAAAGTACACCTAAATGTAAATATCATTCTATAAAAAACACGGAACAAAATGAACACAAAAATTTGAACTGGTGCATTAATTCTGAGATTCCTAACAGGCTAAACTATTGAAACGTTTTCGGAAATACTGTTTCTTTTAATTAGTAGCTTTTTCAGTATCAAATACCTCAATCAAATTGTATAAACCACATAAAACCTTTTCTGGGAGAACTCATTCTATCGTTTCACTGCCTTATTGCAGAGGTCATGTTGGTCAGTCACCCACCTTTCCATGTAACAGTAACGACACCAAAATGAACTTTTTGTAAGCTTCTAACATTATGTGTGATACCGCATGAGCAGGAGTGGTTAGGGCAACCTCGAAAAAATATAAAGCCCTATCCAAATTCCTAACAGCCAAATAAATTTTCCCACCATAATAATAATACAATAAAAAATACTTGGCATCAAACTGAGTAGCTGCACCATAGCCTGCCTCTTGACAAATCCCAATGATGTCTACGTCCAGTATTTTTATAGCTGGCTTGAAACATTTGGCAAGCAAACATAACTGGCACAAGTCAGCATGCACAGACGTTAGCTGTGCTTCAGCGAAGTACCTTAGTTTGTCTATCGCCTTCTCCAACAGTATTATACCTTTTAATGGCTGCTTTTGCTCCACCAAGTAGTTGGTGAACAAATGGCAGAATTCAGCAACTGAAACAACTCATTTAAACATCTGGAAACCATGTAACTACATAGCGTCCTTACATGTGTCGGGGGCAAATCTGATTTGGTCAGCGCTGGAATTTACAATAAAATCTAGAGCTTGAGCAAATCGGTTATCCTGCAGATTACACCCCTGACTGCTAAATTTAGCACAAAGGACAGCTAAAACGCCCAAAGTGTGCTGTTGGACGTCCAACGTCTCGAGTACATTGTCAAGGTGTTGAATATTTTTTAAAAGCACTTCGCTAGATTTGTTTAAAGTATCGCATAATTCTCGATAGTTGCCTGTAATCGGCAACATAACCTTTAATAGCTATATTAATAAATTTTTGACCCTTACCGTGAGACGATAGAGTTCTGACACTATTTACGAACTGTTCTAGGGCCGATGCCATCTCATTAGACTAGTATTTTTTCGCGCTATCTGATAATTGTGAATATTTAAAAAGTTAACCAGAAATTTATTTCATATGACAGACAACCAGCAGCCACCACCACGGACCGCACTTAACGTAAGACGACCAGTAAAAATACACTGTAACCAGTCGCCCAATACTAGGACGCAATCAAAATAGAGGGTTCTTGATTGTGTCTCATAAACGTCACTCTTTGTCATTCAAAATAATTTTAAAATTTCATGTTTTGTTTCTTAAGTTTATTTTTCCATAATCTTTTGTACAAACTGATACGGGTATCAGGAGATACGTAAATAATAATCGAATTCGCCAAGGTCGTTGCATGTCATGTACTTGGTGAACTTTGTATTTTCGGCTGTTTAGAAGTACCATTTATGATCATTTACCAGTTGAATTAATAATTATAATGGCTCACGAGGTTCCTCAAGGTTTAGTTGATGAATTGCGAAGCGTATTCCTTAAGGAGTTGTCTGAGAAAGGCACAGATGGTAAGAATTTGCAGTAGGTACTTGTTGCCGAAATAGAGACCCGTATTACAGCTGTTCACCCTAAAGACCTGGAAAGGTTCAAAAACGAGGACCACTGGCTACAACGGTTTATCGCCCATAACGATAACGATATTCCTTTGGCTTTAAAGATGGTCTGGGGCTCCCTCACTTGGAGAAAAGAAAATAATGTAAATGGTACAAACTGTTTAAGTATTTTGTTTTCCGGGTTTCACTCGATTTGTTCTTAGAAATCAGCGAAAAAAATATTAAAATGGACATTATTATCAAAGGCTCGTTTTTTCCTCATGGCAGAGACATCGATGGTAAAACAATTTTCATTTTTAAAGCCAAATTGCATCAAAAAGGTACTGTCAATATGGATGATCTAAAGCGATGTGTCGTGTATTGGTTTGAAAGGCTTGAAAGGTATATTTTTGTCAATTTTCTTATTGTTTATGTATTATGGAGTTTTAGAACTGGCAAAGGGGAACCAATTTCTATATTTTTTGATATGGATGGTTGTGGACTTAGCAATATGGATATGGAATTTATTAAATATCTAATTGGGCTGTTTAAAGAGTATTATCCCTATTTTTTGAGCTATATACTTATTTTTGAGATGGCTTGGGTCTTGAGTGGTAAGTTATGTTAACATAATTTTAAATTTCTGGTAGTAGTTGTAAGCAAATCTCCGCTGATGGATTAATAACTTGTTATGCTAGTGCTTAAATCATTACTAAATAGTGCTTAGTTATCTTCCTCAACCTTGAGCTCTATTTTGTTCTTGTTATGAAAGTGTAGTTAACCATCAGACAGAACAAAGCAATAAAGATTTATATCAAATTAGCAAAAATTGCGGCACTTACGTGAACTTGGCTCTGATGCACCTCGCGCAATTGCTCTGTTACCTTATCTTACCTTACCATGCATTTTTTAAATCGTCCACACTGCACTTTTTGCGATCGTGACGTTAAAAGTAAATAAACTTGCACTTTGGTTAGTTATTAGATCCTATTAGCGCTTATGCTATATTGATAATGGGCGATAATTATCGGGACAAAAAAATAATTTTCTTTCTCATTGCCAGCCGCTTTCAAGGTAATAAAGTCCTGGCTTCCCGAGAAGGCGGTACAACGCATAAGGTTTATCAGCAAGAAGGATATAGACACATATGTGCCCCTTAAGGAAGCATTGAGGTGTTGGGGCGGCGAGAACGATTATGTGTTCAGCTTCATTCCGGAAGAACCTGTTAAGACTGTAGTACATGAAACAAATTCCAACAAAAAGGTTAGTCGCTCTTTGCTTCTGCAGGTAAAAAACTTTTTTGTTTTAAATAAATAAACATAATTTTGATTTATAATGCATAAGTAAGTGTTAAGAGCTAACAAAATTAATTTAAACCATTGGTACAAATTTTTGGAGAGTACAAGTTGGGTAAAGAAAAATAACTTCTCTGACAGTAAACAATAAACTTTTTTTTATAATATAATAATTCAATTCCCTCAAAAAAAAACTTACTACCAAATAAACAATAAATAGTATACAGTTATTCTAATTTTTTATAATATGGCAAGTATAATACAAACTAACCCACTATAGAAATCTCTTGGACAATCGACGATAGGATTAAAATTATTACTTAACTAATAAAGTTTGTCTTAAGTTCCAGTAAATATAAACAATATAATACTTGAGCCAACAACATTAAATCATCAGTTAAATGAATTATAAAAAAAAATCTACTTGAAGAATAAACTAATTGTAGTTTTATGCCTATTATTTTATTCTTTTTATATATATATGGACTACTAAATACATATGTCGAGAATCTATGAAGTCATGTATAAGTTTTCATAGATTTTAAGTTTATTTTTTTAAAAATAAATTTAAAGAATTTAATTTATTAATATCTTCAGCTTAATTTATAATATTGTAATTGAAGTCAATACTATTGTAGATTGTCCAATAGTTTTCAAGTGTAATTTGTGACAGATCTTTAATATCCCATGTTTCAGGTTTTTCTTGACTTGTCCAAGTTCTTATTTATGTTTTGCAGACGAAAACTCAAATAATTTTATAAAGTTATTGAACAATAGAAAAAATACATAAATCAAAAACTGTTCTATCCAGGCCTTTTAGCTACTGCTGTGAATACGCTTGCAACATATTTTTGTATGCTCTTGACTTGACTGATCTTCTCATGGTAGTTTAACAGCTGTTGTAGTTGGTGGGGCGCTGTTGCATTTCAAGCCTTGTTCAGTGTTCTCCAAATTATTTTTTTCCCTATTTGTAGATCTTCTATCTTCAGGTTCCAGTAGCTGTTGAACTATGTACTCCTCATCATTTACGATAAGACGCTTTTTTCTAATAAAAACGTTATGATTTTTTCATAGGGCTATTTTCAAATGCTGTCCTAATACTTTTTTCTTCAACTAGGCGGTGAGTTTTTGGTAAAATTGGTTTATTTTTTACGTCCTTTTCAATAATATAGACGTTATTAATATCTTGAGGTTTTAGCTTAACTTCTAGTAATTTGTTTAATATATCAATGATAAATAGATTTCCATTCCGGACTTCTAGGCCAAATATATGTTATTCTCTCTAAGTTTTTTCTCTACTTTGACTGTAGTTCAGAATACTTCTCCTACTTATCCAGAACACTAAATCCTTTCAGTTATTTATTACATTCTGCGGACATACCCACTTGTGAATAATAATCGCACACACAATTAATAGTTTTTATGTAGACTAAAACCTAGTATCTTTTTGTGAAATGTGTTTTTTTTTTTGGAAATATGCGTGCTCCTCGTTCATCGATCGGAAGTACCGTGATGTAAAGAAAGAAATGGTTGAATGAAAAGGAGTGTTGTGTCTAGATCTTTATTTTCTATGTAGAAATTTGTACTCTCCGTAAAAAAGGTATTTAATTAAATAATTAATTGGGGAAGAAAATTAATACATTTGACCGTTTTATTATCCGGAAATTCTAAAACATTGTAGTAAAATTACCGAAATGCGATAATACACAATCTACAAAAGTTTTTTTCAATCCTTAATAAAATTGGAATATCAAAAATCAAAAAATAATTACGAGAATACAAACTATAATCTAAATATGATAAAAAGGTTTTGAAAAAATAAAAACGCAACTTCATTAATTTGAAGCAATATTATGAAAAGTTCTAAGGGCAGAAAATGTCAAAAAGTGTCGATCGGTCCTCGTATATCTATTTGGAAGTCGTGCGCGCGTGGCAGGTGCCCAATGTGAGATCGGGGGAGTCTGATCAATAATATTTTATAGCAGGTTCATTTCGTAGATGGTTCCCCCATGTCTGAAGCATCTTCCAATCACACCGCCGCGGATAAAGAAGGTAAATTCTTATGTAGGAATATATCAGTTTGTTTTGCGGTTCTTCTTCGTTGATTGGTGTTGGTCTGTGCGTTGGGTATGTGCCTTTCTTTTTATTTAGGGGTATTGATTGTAATGCGGCCCCTCGCTATAAATTAATAAAAAGTTGATATTTCCGATCCTTTATGTTAAAACTTAAAGAAATAATAAAAAAATATTAGAATAAAATTTAACATAATGGTTCCGCTTTTTTTTTTAAACAGGCTTCAAATGAGGAAAAAAATGTTGGGTTGCTGTGGGGTGGATTATTATTAAATAGGATTCTATTTAAAAAGTTGCGAGCATCAGAGATAAAATTTTAGTAGTAGTATACGAGGTTTACTCAAAAAATATGACTTTTGGCCATTAGTTAGATCTTCAAAAAAATTTAATTAATTAATATGTTCATTGGAATTGGATGCAGTCCACTAAGTATGTAGTTTAAATCCCACTCATTGCCACCGCAGTCGCCCATAAATAAGATTTTAGTCAATATTCAATGTTTTTGCTTTTTTCCACCGCAAGATGGACCTCTCAGGGTCAACCCGTCCGGCATCATCACGTTCGTCGAGGAGTCAAATGAGCTCATCAGCACGCTGGAGCTGCGCAACGGGGATCCATCCCTGCACCTATCCTTTAAGGTGATTATAATCTCGATTTTCGTATTCTCCCGCTTTTTCCGCATCCGTTCATGCGGCACGCGGCTCCGCAGCTGAAAACCACCTCCCCGGAAAAGTTCCGGGTGAAGCCCAGCACCGGCTGTCTGCCTCCGGGCGGGCACGTCAAAGTGACGGTCACCCTGCTGCCGGGGTTCCAACTGGGCGGCCTGTCCAAAGACAAGTTCCTCGTCATGAGCACCGTCATCGAGGACAAGGACACTAGTTCGCCGGACGTGTCCGAAATATGGAAGGTATGTGTGTATGTATGCTGCCCCCGTTGCCATTAATAGTTCTGGAAAATTAGGGAAGCCAATTTTCGAATCTTAGCATGTGCCTTCTGTTCCTCTGGAGCAATTGGAGGGCGAAAAGTTTCGTCTTTCTAAGTATGTGAAACTTTATTTCTTTTTTTGAAATAAGAGGCCCAAGATTCAGACCCACAAATTTTGATTTTGTCGATTAATTATTTAGTTATGTGCAAAAAACATCAAGTACAACTGAAATACAAAAGTGGGACAATTTCGTTTGAGCGTTAGCGTAACCTGTCGAAGAACTACAAATTTTGCATTTAAAGCCCAGGTTAAATTAATCAACCTGAATGTAACCAAATAATAATAATAATAATAATAAATGCGCAGAAGAGTGTATATTGACATCCTCTAAGTGCTGTATGCAGAGATCTCCAAGAGTATCCCATTGACTTTCTCCTTACACTTACCAAGCATGTTTCGAAGTGCATTAAATGGCTTAATAGCCACACTTACAATTATGCGTTAAAGTTAATTGAAGTCTATTAATTATTATTATTAAAGTTTTAACAATTGTTGGTTCCAGTTGACCAAACCTTCCCCATTCGTTTTTACAAATACTCTGTTTAGCTCGTCAATACTGCTCATGGTTTCGATCGGAATTGGCTCAAAATCAAGAAGAAAAACCAACACTTTGCCCCAGAAGGGGTTTCAAGTTCAAATCTGCAGGCTTATTGTACAATAAAAAACAAAATTTGACTATAGTCTAATCGAAATCTGCCAAGTATTTGCAGATGTGAACTTAAAGCCCCTCTTTCTGGGATAAATGATTAGTTTTTCTTCTTTATCTTTAGCAGTTTCCAGTCAGAACCGGCTTTTCCGACTCAAAATTATTACGAAAGCAACAACAACAGAGGATTTTTCTTCGATTGATTGTCCGAATTGCACACTGCATGATCAGCAATACTTTTGTTTACTGTAACCTTATCTTGCAAATTGCAGGAACTAGTCAAGTTAGTAAGTGGCCGCGTCAATTCTCTATTACACAGGGTGCGCAAAATATTTGAAAAATCCGCTCGGAAACATTCTGAGATGAGTGTTTGCGATTGAAGCAAAGTTTTAAGTTATACAGGGCGCCGCGCAAAAAGTGGTACATCGGTGTTGTCCAGAACTATTAATGTGGCACCCGCCGTGAGTCACCCTATATATGCGCGTTGTTTTAGAACACGGCCAATCGTAAAGTCTACCAGCACCGTCTTAAGTGTGTCCAGGGTGGTGACATCGCTAAAAACGGTAGCGTGGTGCATCACTCGGTCCACGCCGCCGAAGACGAGGCCTTTGCCAAGCTTTCCGCGTCTCTAAATCGCATAGCGGCCGCGCAGGAGGAACTTGGCGCCTCTGTGAAGAGAACGCAGCACATGCAGCTCGCTTTGCTCATATGGACCGTCATTTTGGGCTTGTTCATCATTAATATCTTCAATAAGCAGGCTGATATCGGTTCCGACCATTCCTATTGCGAGGTTCCGCGAGGTCCGTAGCGGTAGCCGTCAGATGCAGAGCCGAAAGAGGTCACGTTGGACGTCCCCTTGATTTACCGTGTATTGTCCATGCTGGTCTATCAGTTCTTGTACGTTTTGAGTTTGATTTTTTATTAGGGACGTCGGTGAGACGTTTTCGGTTGCTAAAAGTTCCTCGATTCCGTATTATCGGAGCCGACAATAATATCCGCTCGCGGGGATGGTGTGCGTGTTAAGGCTCTGCATAAGCAATTATTCCAAGTATTGATAGGTATATAGTTAAAGCGAATTGATAAATAACGCGTTATTTAGTTTTTTAAAAAATTGCTGTTTATATATATATTTTATTCCAAATCTAGTGTAGGGCGAAATTTCCAATTTTTTTTTGAGCGTCATTCCAGGTCCGGGAACGGTGTTTCTACCGCCGGGCCAATCAAAAACCTTTCGATGTTGAGTCGTTAGGTCGCGGTAGTTCGTATGCACCGGTGCTCTCTAAGTAAGGCAATTAAAACCCTAATCACTAAGGTATATTTAGCTACGAGAACAATCACGAACTGATATAGAGGAGTAGATTGTGTACATAACCTTCGCTGTGACTATTTTTTACAATAAACTTTGTTCTTACCTGTGTATTTATTTATTTTTATTTTTGTGTGCATAATTTACTAGGTATGAATTATGTTCGCAAAGTAAATAACCTGAATTTATGTAAAGAATAAATCTATTGAATTGATTTGAATGGGAGTCGAAGTGTTTCTTTAATGGGATTTACTAAATGTTTAAAACAAATTTAAAAAAAAATGCCTAAGTACCTACAAAAAAATGTATCCTGCTTGTCTCTTACGTTTTATGTACCGTCTGTCTTAAGATAATAAGCACCTGTTTACCTATTTATATATTTTTTCATTATTGCATGCATAACTTGCCTGCAAGATATGAATTATGTTCGTCGGAATCAGGCATAGTAAACAATAACGTGAATGATATGATGTAAAAATTTAATCTATTAATTGAATTAGGGTCGAAATTTATGGCTTAAGGGCATTTACTAAATGTTTTAAACAAAATTAAAAAATAAATAACGTAAGTACCTACAAATAATTTATCCTGTAAATCACACACTGCTTGCGCGTTACGTCTTATGTACCTTCTGTCTTAAGATAATCACTTCCTTAAAACGGATGGTTAGCAGTTTATATAAAAGAAGACATTCTGGGATGGCTGTTAATTGGATAGCTCATTCAATGGACAGTAAAAAGTTGAAGAAGAAAACATTCTGTGCTTCGTAGTTGGCGTTGGTTAGTTTTTTTTTATTATGAATTAATTGATCAATACAAATTTGGTTTTTACCTGTTTCTATAATTTTTTAAACGAACAATTATCTCCACAGTTAATGTTTTAAACACATTTTTTTAAAGCATTGCCTATAAATTGTATACGTAAAGTACACTATGCTTGCGCTTTAAGTTTTACGGAACTTCTGCTCTAACGTCCTAAATTTAGAACCTCTATTTACAAAATAGATGTTTCATATAAAAGAAGAAATTCTGTACTCCGTGATTGGCGTTGATCGATGTTTATTTTGGGTAGGATAAGTTATTTTCAAAATGAGTAAAATTGAAAAACCGAAAACCAGACGCTACACGAATCGTAAGCCCTTCCAGAAACGAGCTGCGTTGGACGTCAACCTCAAAGGTTTCTTATGCAGCTGCAACAACCGCGAAAAAGACTGTATTAAAGAGTCGTACAATATTCTCAATAAATACGCCGATATTTTGTATCCTCCGGAGACACCGTCAGCAGAAGATCCTGTTAAAGAGAGCAACATAGAAGACGATTTGCAAAAGGAGTTGACGGAATTGCGACAGAAAAAAAAAGGTGACATGCGTTTTCAAGTGTTAGACTCGGGCGCTAAGAATTTTTTGTTTATCAAAACAACTGTGGAGGATCCCGTAAAATTGGCCGAGAAAATCGTCACTGAAATAGCAAACACCAAGGTCCAAGAGAGTAAATTTTTGCTAAGGTTAGTACCGGTTGAAGTTACTTGTAAGGCATATGTTAAGGATATTGAGAAAGCCTTTGATGTTTTAGCAGATAAATATTTCACCGGTGAAGCAAAAAGCTTCTCTGTTGTGTTCAATCACAGAAACAACAACAGTGTGTCACGGGATGAAATAATTAAAGTGTTGGCGAATGTAGTGTTTGCTAAATGCCAGGATCACAAAGTGAGCTTAAAAGAGGCTGATGTATCAATTGTTATCGAAGTCATAAGAAGTATTGCTTTGTTGAGTGTGGTGCCTAATTATATTAAATTTAAAAAATACAATTTATTAGCATTGTGCGAAAATAGTGATAGTGCAGGAGAAAAAACTGAGGAACCAGGGAATTCAAATGATGACTAATTAAAATGTGTTTTATAAATACAATGTCAATACAGGATAGTTGATTGTTTAAAAAATCCATAAAATAAAATAAAATAAAATTAAAATATAGTTTTTGGTGTAAAATCTTCTTCCTTATTTTCTCTGTGATAGTGTTGGAATGTCACACAGCTTTTTGGAGAGTGCATTTGATTCTTCCACAAATCTGCTACCTAGGGTTGATGCACAAATAATCAACATAGTAACATCAGCTTCAGCCTGGTGTGCATTTAGAGGTGCACATTTTGTCATTCTTTGGTATATGTCGCCCAATTTATAACTACTAAAGTTTAACCTCTTCCTGCTTTCCCGGGATTTACCTATTGCTTTGGAACCAATAATTTGTTTTTTGGGGGTTGTTTCATTCACTTGTTGGATTTTTACTGCCTTTGTTATCTCCTCTTCTTGGACATTACTTTTTGAAGTTTGCTCATATTCATCCGCCACTTGGCATAACAGTTCATCAAATCCATCACATAACTCTATAGGAATGAGCTCCCCTTTGTTGCTAAGTTTAGGCACTTTTGAACTGCTGTCTGCTTTATCTAACTTTTTGAAAAGTTTCAGTGAATCTATGCAATAGAGACCATCCAACAAATTCACACCAGTCTTGTCAATCTCTGTTCTCAAAATGGGAAAATCAAATTTATCGCCATTATGAGCTACCAAACATATCGGCTTGGGATGGTGGTCTAAAAACAAGTTAATAGACTCCACGGTTTTGTCCGAAAAAACGCCCAAATGCTCCAGTTTCTCATTCGACAAACCGGTCATTAGTTCGGCGTCGAGCGATATGAATTTGGTTGGATTGAAACACAGATTGAGTTTGTTTTGCACTCGCGGCACATTTTTCAGGCCTAAGTGCTCTTCTTGCACAGCAATCATACACAGTTCGGTGATTTTAGTTTTATTTTGTTCCAAATGTGGTAGACCGGTAGTCTCCAGATCCAAAAATACGAATGTTTTTATATTATTCATAATCTGGGAAGCTGCTTTGATGCTTAGCTTAAACGATTGATGACGTGTAATCAATAATTTGATTATCTTTAATAGTGATCGCATGCTATCTCGTTGACTTCCATTTTGAATTAAACTGTAGATAAAACATTGTTAGACGAGGCCCATTTACCTCGTCTACACGTTAAAGACATAGGTTAGAAATCACAGAGCACAGATGACATAAATGGAATGTCGGATGGGACCATTAATGCTAAAAAGGCGAGATTGACCAAGTTGCTAAAATATTAAGAAGAACTCTCACAGTCTGGCATCGTAACTAAAGTATCATTCAGTTAAGCACTTTGCTCTGTTTTTATTACAATTTTTAAATGAGTCATAGCTCTAAAAAAGTTAAACCATTGATTTGAAATAAGAGCGTTCATTTAAGGTTTTGATTTATAGTTACTCTTCTTGAATTATATGGGTTTAATAATACACACTGAAGCGTTTAATTTAAGAATGATGTATTAAATATTGGAATTTTGTATAAGAAAACTGACAAAATTCATTCTACATTTAAACTACTTGGTCTATCATTTCACCGCGTGTTCTTCTTCGAGTCTCGTAGGCCAATCAAAAGAATTATTACAAAACAATACATGTAGTGCCATTTATGTGACAATAACTAAAATACTCATACAGATAATGTAGACTTCTTTAACACAAAGCAAATTAACTGCGTTCTGCACTATACATTCAACAAGTCTTTCTATCAAAAGAGCATGACAATCTATAGTAAACAAAAGTGATAACAATATTTTTCACTGGAATGCAAAAAATAATAATGTCTTACCTGAATCAATTTTAAGGTACACTATGGTTCTATAAAAAAAAATATGTCAAAACTTATAACGAAAAACATTTTTCTCCGGTTTTTTTGCCCACCCGGTAAGTTCTTTAAAAATTATTTTTATAAAATGGAGCAGGTGGGAGCAAGATTGTGTCTTACGCGCAACACCACAACATGTTACTTTAATTATGCTAAAATTGTAAAATATTGCTTAATAAATTACAAACATACTTTTTTGGGCTATTTTTTTAATGTCTCAAAACAATGTAGAATTTTTTAAGGATAATTGCCTTTTAGAGTAATTTACTTAGCATAAAATTAGTTTTCAACCTTACATTTACTGGCTTCCTGCATTTTGAATTTTGTCAAAAGCCAATTTCTTTAAAAAAATCCCTTTCACTTTTCATACGGAAAATTGTATAAATAAAACATTCTCAAAATGACACTGACAACAAATGTTACAAAATTATTGTTGAAGTTTCCATGGTAACAAGACGACTTAAAACGTTTGTTTTGTGAAGGTTCATGGCCTATTTGTTAAGTTTGTAACAAGGAAAACTTTTATTGTACGAAATGTATTATGGGTTCATTTCAATAGTTTGGGCTCTCCCTGGCCCACAGTGCGTCGCCCAGATAGTCACAAGCGCGTTGGGAGTCCTGATCTCACCGCCCATTATCGATATCAATTGCATTAAACAAAACTAGTGTTTTAAATCGTTCATTTCTCGAGAACCGAATCAATATTACCATTCGATTTCAAAAAGAACCGAATCGTTTTGAATCAATATTTTGTTTCTTTACTATTTGTTGTGGACTGTATAAGTCGCAATGGTCACGGAGTCGGAACGACGGATTGAGATTTGTTTGAATTTGAATAATTTTTGTATTTATATGTTTTGTTTTGTTTGAAATTTTTAGCTGTGGTTCTGAAATTTATTGCGTAATGATTTTAACAAAATTAGTACTACGTATTGGGTTGTAGGAGTAATAAATTTTGTTTAAATTAATCACCTGCGTGGAAATAGATATTTCATTCAATTCAAGACATAAGCAAATCTACCGATTGATATCGCAACTAGGGATGTTCCAATAACATTAAAGTATCGATACCTACTCATTTCGGTAGTACTCAAATCTTTTTTCGATACTACTCAAATAAATATTCCTAAAGTATCGATACTTTATTATTTTTTTATTTATTTTAAGAAAACTAACAACGAACGTTGAAAGACAATAATTAAAACAAAATTAAGAAGGAAAAGAAAACTTTTATTATAAACGTTTGCGTCCCGTTAAGCACGTACTTTAAAACAAAAAACTCCACGATAACATTGGAATAATAAGCCGATGATTACAATAAATAAAATTATTCGTAAGCAATCTCTTGTATGTTTGACAATTTATGTTGGTTGACAATGAAAAAAAAATGAAAGGCGGACGTCTTTCTCGCGTTTGGCTCGGGCTCGGTCGAGTGAAGTCGGACGAGTTCGGCTTGGCTGGCGCTAGACAACGGGTCACCACAGATAGAGGTTATGTGAGGCTGATTCGATTTGATACCAAGTACTTTTGTTTCGAGACCGAGTAAGTATCGCAAGATTGATTCGATGCTATAAATACTTGGTATCGAATCAAAAGTATCGAGTACCTACTCGTATTTACTAGTATCGGAATATCCCTAATCGCAACTCAATACCATACAATAATTTTACCAATACTCCCATTCCTTTTCCCATTCCAAGGCGAATTCTATTTGTTTTGGTACGGTCGGTCGATCGGTCGTATGGCAATCGGTCGCCGTTTAACTTCTGACCAGTCAGGGCGGCAGCGAGAGAAAACAAGGTGAACGAATCGTTACGCCAAAGCGGGATTCGGTCGTTCGATGCTATGAAGTGATTGAATCAAAGTGACCGAATCAATCGTGATGGACCCAACTCAAATTGTAATAGTAATATTTTAATGTGTTCAGTTCATAATTCATTATGGTTGTTGGCAGTTTAGATAGATAATATTCCCAAGCATTTGAATTAAGTTTTAGTTAAAGTTTCGAAATAAGTTGGTAAGGTTAGAATAATTATTTCAGTCGTGATTAAAAGTTTTAATATTTTTCGTACCCTGTTTCCACATAACAACAAATTAACCCATATTTTATGTAACATTCGTGTTAAAATACAAACTTTTATGTAAACAATATCGAATAAATTGAAGTTGGGTTAGATGTATAAGGTTATTATTATTATTATATGCATCCAAAGCAACGTCGCTGATATAAAACAGGATGTTTTTATATACAGGGCTCTCGTTTAACGGGAACCGGAAATATAGCTTGTATATTTTGGTCCCCTCGTCTACAAAAACATTCTGTTCGGTTAAAACTTTGTCGATCGTTAATTGACAATTTTTACAAAATTTTGTACTGTTTACATTATACGAACGTCACGAAAATGTTTACAGTTTCGATGGATAAAAAAGTTATTCACACCAACAATTTACAGTAATATACAATATCTGCGCTTATGACCAGTTTCACGGGCATTATTTACATCGTTAAAGCACTTGTAATTACATCGAAATCGGGCGAACATTACGAAACGACGAGATTGTTAGCCTCGACCCGAGATCCTATCAGGGGTGCCGTGTCCGCCCCTTTAACCGGTGACGCCGATTTGCCGTCTAGCCACGCCGGTTCTTGAATCATGCTCAACTCGGATCTGTCGAACTTGACCGATTTCCTTGGACCTCGGTTGATAGGGGGCATTTCCTGCTTAATTCCGCTCTCGGTAGGGCTGTGCGTCGGCGTTGGTCTGGTCTCCATACACGTTATGGCTTTCTTGGAGCTTAAGTAGGTGGTCGCGGTCGGTTGGGAGCTATATTGCACGTTTGGTACCTGAAATTTGAAGGAAACAAATGTCACGACGCGAACGTCACCTGTTTAGGGGACTTACGCGTATACTATCTTCGTCAATTGCTCTCCCTCTACCGGCTTTGTATTCCTGGTATTGAGATATCACACATAGTAAGGCATACAGCTGAAAAAATGGCAGGAAATAACTGCGCGGTCTACCACATGGCCCTCAAAGTACTTACGTTTAAGGTGTTTAGAAAAAAGTCTATGGTTATTAGGATGGCTACGGATGGATTCCACTGGAGCTAGAAAGAAAAACGGTTTTGAGAAGCAGGTGACCCAGAAAACATTTTGAGTTTTGGCATCCGTGCTCTTGTCGGATCTGTTGGATAAATACTACTTACAGCATGAACTACGAGCCCGTAGATGATGTACATGACGTCGACCATGGTGAAAAATACCATGTTAAAAATCCAAGGCATCAGTAATATTTTCAAATCCTGCAAGCGTTCAACGTTATTCGTCTGCTAAATAAAAATAAAGATTACCTTGTATAAACCGTAGAAAAGCAAAAGGGCCGTTATGATCCCGCACGACGAGAAAGCGAATATGAGGGCGGAAAACACCAGCGAGGCTGAAACAATAGGACTATCGGTTGGTTTTCTATAGATATACATATATATAAAACAGAACGACGTACGAAAGTCCTATAAAAAAATGTTATTGAGTTTGGGTTATTCGCGAAGTTTCTCCGGCAAAAACTCGAGACCAGATCGTTGCAAAGCCCCGCCCTTCGGCGAATGGACTTCCGAGGGGTTTTTCTGGTGGCGGTTTATTGCCGGATTTGCCTCGTGTTTGAGTCGAAATTTGGATGAGGCTCGAGGTAGCCCTCCTAATTATGACATTGTAAATAAAGTTTCAATTTTAACTCTTTTACATGTAAATTATAAAAAATACCAAAATGGCTTTTACCCAAATTACATACAGAATCCTTCGAAAGTATAATATTACTTTGATCCTTCTCTTATATCCCAAGCAAAGACTCTCACGTGCAGATTATTCAACCGCCATCCGAATGGAACTCATAAAAGTTTTTCGTGTGGCAGTTTATGGCCGGATTTGTCTCGTTTTTAACTTAAAATTTGGATGGCTTGCGAAACTTCGTTGCCAGAGCTATTATTATTATGTCTGTCGCAACGCCCGCAGTTATGGAACGACTGTGGATATTTGAATTTTAACGGTTTTGATAGCTAAATTCTGCTATTATATATTGTCTAGTTTTATTCCATACCAAAAGGGCCCTTTTGGGATCGAGTCTGCTTGACCGTCGAGAAATATTAACGGGGTGGATTATGACTCTGACAATATCCTTTCTTCTGTATTATGGGACTGAGAGCTATGTGAGGCCTTCAATGTCTCAGCATAAAACTTTTTTTACAAATTTATTTATTTACAATTTACAAAACTTTTACATTCGTTCATTCAAGGCAAATAGAGAGAAGGACAGCTAAAATCAAACTAGAACAAAATACAAAAATAACAATAAATACAATTAAGAGGAAGCACGCAAACTTAACACATCAGAACGAAATGAGCGAAGGCTGCCGGCAAAATGATCGTGCTTTAGACAGTTCCACGCTTTCAGCATTCTAGTAAGTGGTGAATACACTCGATAATTTGTGCTATTGTAACGTATTCGGAACATTCAGTTACCACAGCTTAAAAGAGCTGGACAATAATACCAACCATTCACAATCTTAAAGAGAAAAAATAAATCGCTCTGAAATCTTCTGGTTTGAAGAGTATTAATATTGAAGGCCTTAGTTATATTACTGTAGTCGATCTGGGAGCGAACCAAAGAGATATAGAAGGGTTTAAAGCAATGTGGAGTAAGTTGGCCGCTATTGCGTACAACAAACCCAAAGACTCGCACAGACCTGTTTATCACTTCCGTAAAATTTGTCACGGAACTGAGTTTAGAATCGAAGAAAACACCCAAGTCTTTAAGGATAGTAACGTCGTCGATCTCCACTTCATCAATGGTCTATCGCTTGTGAACCATATTCAATGAACGACTAATGGTAATACTACAGCATTTTTTTATATTGAACGTAATAGTACCACGTCCCTCTGAAGCATCAGAGCATCCTCGCGCGATCCCACCTTCCTGAATATCTTCAAATCATCCGTAGTGCACAAGGCCAGCCCCCAGGCCCATAGCTCTAAGCTTAGAGACAAGATGCACATGACCCACACGGTCAAACGTCTTAGGGAAATCAGTGTAGATACAATCCACCTGATCAAGCCGCTCAAAGGTGTTCAATAAAAATTGTTGGAACTACAAACTGTTCTCCATTTGTACCCTGTACAAGTGCAGCTTGGAAACCACAAACTTTATGTAAACGCCTCTATAATTAGCGGCATCGCTCTTATCACCACTCTTGTTCCAAAAGTCAGGAAAAATACCTGAAGATAAGGACAGATTAAATATATGGTGTAGTGGAATACTCAAAATACACACGCAATTCTCAAACACGACTGATGGAATCCCGTTCAGTCCATGCGAAGATCCTGCCTGTAAGTTCATAATAGTCTCAAACACATCCGCAAGTAAAACGCTCATGGAGTTGAAGTCTAAATTGTAGTCAAAAGTGCTTTGCAAACAAACCAACAATATCCTGACCACAGTCGGCGACCTCGTCGCCTAGATACATAGTACCGGGATATGCATTTGACCTCCGCAAACTATTTACATGTTTCCAAAAAGATTTGGGGTCGTACGTGACATATTGATTAACTGTCATTATATATGCGCTGTAGCACTCACTACTGAGTGCCTGTCACTGATCTTTTAAACCACAAAAATAAAAATAACAATCAACGTTGCCAGTTCTGGAGTTTTGCGACTAAACCACGCAGGATAATTTGAAGACTTAAATCGCTTAACAGGAAGACATATCTCAATCGTACCATACGAAACACAACAGCAATAATCGACACATCTGTTAAGGTCCCGCGGGTCAAGTGCGCCCTCCCATGGTATACAAGGCAGGTAATAATATAAAATAAAAATAATAAAAGGCACACAGCAGATGTATCGACGCGATAGACTCCATACTCTCCACACACAAACCACTCTCAGAATTACTCGAAACCGTACTAGGTAAAATGAAGTCTCCACCAATCAACACATCACAATCTGCGTATCCAGCCAAGAGGTCTGAAGTAGAGGAAATAAAATCCTCATACACTGAAGTAGGTGACGAGGAAGGAATATAAACCGCATCAAGAATAATTTTTTTCACTCCTAACGAAACATGCACAAAAATATGTTCCAAAACTACGAAGAGGGTCCCACCCCCCTCGTCTTATCAGTATTTTCCTGGCTGCGATCTTGTCTAAAGTCACTAAAACCTAGTTCTGAATCCAAGTAGGCCTCGTTAAGGCACGACTTCACCAGTATTATAACATTATATGTAACGGTCCGTGGCAACTCATTCAATCTAGTACGCACACCGCCCGCATTATGATAACAAATCTTCAGTTTTTTGGAGTATTCTTCTGCTGAACAACCTTCGGTGCCGCTTTAACATGCTGAACATGTAAATTTGGTTGGTCAACAGAACGAACATCAAGCTCCTCATGTGTTTTTCTTAGTTGATCCCTCTGTAATGGCGTTAAGTCCGCTCTAACTTTTATAACGGAATTTAGTGTTTACAAGGTAAACAGAGACAAACGATGCATCAAATAAAACAACCTTCAACCGCCTAGGACCCCATTACTGCGGAAAGAACTTTAGATACATGTTCCTTGTCCTGACTTTCGAGTTATCAGCTGCACCTGACTTCAAAAGCTGCATATCACTTTCAAGGCTTGCTAGTATTATTCCTGCAACTTAAGATGGTGCATTCATATTTTGTTGGAGGTTTGGATTTAGAAGAGAAGAGAAGCCTAGTTTATCTCCAAACTATGACTAGGACCGTAAGACCACATCTGCAGCAACTGAAATTCAATCCTTTGCGCGTCCAAGGAAGCAAGTGAAAGGGAAGAGAAATGCTGGTACTACCTGTCCTTACCTTATGAACATATGAGTAAAATCGCTTACGATTATTCAGGGAGATCTGGGATTGTTTCGCCGACGAGTTTCGTATTTAATTAAAAGCTCGCTACTTCGTTACGCGTTCGTCGCTACCCGACAGCGTGCCGGTTTTCAGGTCGATACTTCGGAGTGTCTTTCAACCCCAATTAATCGACGTAATGCATCGAGCGGGACCGAAACAATAATTCAATTTTCCGGCTCGTGACCCGGTTGTCATCCTCAGCCCATCTCCCCGTTTTATACATAATCCGTATATCGTCGATTGTGCTGTCACGGTGCCGTATGTAACTTCATTTTGGCATCTAATATTCAAGAAGTTACAGGCTCCTGCAAACCTCGCGCCGGAGTTCCGCAAGGTCTCGTGTTGGGGCGACCACTCTCATCCATCGTTTATACAAATAGTTCATCTTAACCCATTATACACTATCCTACATATGAAGGAAAGATTTCAAAATATGAAATACTAGAACGCAGTAGGAGAGAACGGGAAACTTTAGTACCCAAGGGGGGAAAGACGTAAAAGTTATGTAGTCTTATATTCTCAAACAGACTTGGACAAAAATGTTATCCTTTAGTGAAGTCGATGCTGACAATCACCAGACAAAACAGTATAGCCAAGCCAAGTACATACTCGGTGTTGCAATGTTTATAAATATTCGTGAGATGGAAAGCAAAAATGTTTGATGCTTGTGTAGGAGACCATGTTGTTTTTCTCGAATTATACGAAATAAATTTCGTTTTAAATTTCTGCGGGATTCTCATTTAACTTTGTTTTTAGATCGGATTAGTTAACAACTGCGCCACTTTTGAATTAAAACTTCAGCGTTCGCTTCTATTTTTGTTCAAAATTTGTTGTTGTGCTGCGGTAATATCTATGCTAATGCGGGGAGTGTGTGCTGATAGAAGTTCTGTGTAAAAGTAACAGCAAAGCTTTTTAAGACCAAAAAGGAACGACGTTAGTGTCGGCTTTTATTTTTGATGGTGATCCGCTAGCAATAACAACAATTTGGATATATTCCGCCATATTCATGTCAGAACAATGCCGCAGGTTGGTCGAGATGGGCTCCGCTAAATCTAAAATGAAAGAAAAATACCCATAGCTTGTTATTAAACAGTAAAGTGGGAATTTGTTGGAGCTAAAATTCGCTGAGATGTGGGTCACTGATTGCTGTTGGATAGTATCAATTCCACAGTAACTATTTTTATAAATGTTTATACCACAACATTTGTTATATTTTAACGTAGGACGTGTTATTTATCTCTAACTGAAATGGCCAAATATCCGTACCCAGAGAGCACAAAATATCCCCAGTATATCCGGTCAATATCCCATTTACATAAGTAAAAAAATTACAAAAACGTAAATAAAAATAATATATTTGTTAATAAGATCCCATTTGACAAAACACTGTTCGGCTGCAACCAATGACGCAACTAATCGCGGTCGTGCCGTGCCGGACTCGCTCGTGTCTCGTCGGCTTCTCTTCCGTCTCGTCGTCCGCCACCTTTTCAGAATTGTTTTTGCTGGCTGTATAAAGTATACGGCGACTTTGAGTATTTAGTGTGTTGTGGTTAGTGCTTTCAGTGCTTTTATTTCAGTTATTTTTTTGTGGTATTATTATTACTGAAGAACTCATAATTCATGTAAGTAAAGCTTTATGGTAATGTATAACATAAGATTTGATCAATTCTCAACTGAACGAATCATTGTTGGTGTAGTCTACCAACATCATGCCTTGTTTTATTATTATTTTGCTATTTGAATGAGATAGCAATATCAGGCGGCGGCAGCAGTTATGAGTTTGTAAAACAAGTTGTGACCCCGCTGATTTTAAATGAACTCGCAATGAAATTTAATTTGTTGGGCATGAAGAAAAAGGAGAAATTTTTAAAATTAAAATTACCCAAATTAATACTTGGTAAGTAGGTATTAGGTTTAAATATGATTTAATAAAATATATATCATGGTGCTTGCTTAGTTGACTGACTTTTTTGTAACCTATATACCTATATTATATGCTTTAAATTATATATCTTTTTTGATTCTAGACTTCTTTTCGTATCTTATTGCTTAGTTTTTGAAAAAAAAATTTTAGGTAGACAAAAAATATTGTATGAAAATATGCCTCTACTGTCAAACTGAAAAGTCATATTTGTTATGTATAGTTTTTTTTTGCTCGCGATAGCACTTATTCTCATGAAAGAGATCTTCCCGATGAAAGTTTAATAAAGTTTGTATTTAATGGAATGAAATACATAAATGTATATCTATATCATCGTGCAGATTAGCATATAAGATGGCTTTCATGATAGTACTATCAACACAACACATCACAAAAATCAAAAGAGTGTGAGAATTCAATAGCTGCTTGGCTGAAAAGGGCTACTTTCACCAAAGAATGACAGAAAACCTGTCAAATATTAGTTATTCTTTTAGAGTTCAGTTCAAGAAATAGTATCTTACTCTATTTTTAAGATACTTTAGCTTAGGTTGTTCTATATTTTTGCTGTATTGTATGCCTACAATTTTTTCATATCTACAATAGAAAAAAGTCAGATGTGTATAAAATGTCTTCTATTAATGGTGTCAATTGGTAGTCCTTCACTTTTACCATCAAAAGCAAAATTAAAGATTTAATATTAATTGGAAAAGCTTGTGCATTTCAAATATCGCCTGCTATTCCAGTGATGACTTCACCAACCATACCCAATAGGTTGATTTCATTAGTGGGACAGAATTTTTGTAATCGTACAACCAATTGGACTACTGGACATTACCTTTTCAGTATTTCTCATAGGCTGTTGGAAATAATATTAAGTAAGGTCCATTGGAATGTCTGTATAATATTCTATATCCACACAGTCGGATATACCAACGACGTCTCAACTAGTATAGCTGGATATCCTTCGGATATACGCATTTGATATACTGTGGACGTTCCAGTTAGCATTGTGAGTATCGACGTCTTAAGGATATCCCTTAGCTGCAACGGTATATCCCTATATAGGCTATGTCCCGAGGACGTTGCTATGCGTCCTTGTGCTATTTGAGTTGGATCCACTGGCGATAGGTTGATAGGTGGCTATGATACCCGGTAAGCTAATCGAATACTAAGCTCTTGTCGAAGATTTTGTGTCGAAAGGTAACTTACTTTCTGAAGTGATGTCGTGATCTATCAGCGACTGATTCGAAACGTTCTTCAAATACGACAGTTCCTCGTGGAGAAGAAAAGACGACTGCAACGCGTTCACCGTATAGTAAACCTGAAACAAATTCAGCGACTGTTAATGTCCGCCATTTTTCATTTCGAAATTTAAAACCGGCGCCACTCTGGATAAACGCAGTTAAAAATAAACGCTCCCTTCGGGGAAAGCGCCAAGATATTGTCCCCCAGGGGTTTAGGTCGGTTTCTGTTTTCAAAAACACTCGCCGAACCAGACAAAAATTAATAACTCGGTAATGGGTCAACCCCTTTATAATGGAGATACTTTAAACCGAATACGCGGCCGGGGATTTATTATGGAAATACGACCTCTGGTTTTAATAACGGCGCGGAAACAATAAGAGACGAGTTTTATCGACTAAAAGCCGACGACGATGCGTGAAGCGTTAACATTTTTCTTTTCGTAACGCTTCTGCGGGTTGTCGCCCGTAAGTAACGATATTTTTCCATCGGAAAAAAGATCGGGCGCACTTTCCACGGGCGCTGACGAATGTCCTACATTTCGGTCCCACTGCCAGGCAAATTTTCCTCTCTATTACTTTATACGGTACGAAATATGTTTTCGACACGAAAGCGTATTTTTTAGCCCGTCCAATATGCGCCGCCAGAAGGGACCTGGAAGTCGCATTTCAACTGAAATTATTTATATGCTCGGTTGTCCCGGTCGTGTGCCGTTGCTGACAAATTCGTTTTCGTACTCTACAGGATTTTAGGATTACGAGTGCGCATCATTTCGTTCTTCCTCTTCTTAATCCACCGTTTCCGAGGGTCGAAGGTTGGCGATCCAATTGGTCATTGTAATTTCGGAAACTGCTGTTCCAGAAATATCATTTGATGAGCAACCATACCCGCGGCTTAGGGCTTTGAAGCAGTTTGGGGTTAGACGTATTTATATGTATAGCAAAACTTACGCTGTTTGTTTTCAATCTGTTTCGCAATTCTGGAAACATGTACATAAAAAAATTAGTAACAAAAAAACAAAGTAACAATTTATCACGTTCTATGTCGATGAATTCAATTCTTCTCGAAAGTATACGCGCTCCTCACTCGAGATCTCGATAATGGTGCATCGTACAGCGTAGCCGTTGGTACAGATCGAATCAGCATCGAAAAAAAAAACTTTTTTTGTCTGTCCGTTCTCCTTTCTCCGTTCCTCCGTTCTCTGTTCCAAGGTTTTTCGACGATATCTTCCGGTAGGGAAGTATCAAAAAAAAAAACTGTGTTTGCAAGGGTCTAAGGAAAAGATCGTTTCTCCAAAACTGTTAATGGAACTGAAAAAAATCTTTAACGAAAACACGTAGAAGATTTGGCTGCATAAACTTTTATTGTTGACAATTTTTCAAAAATGTACAAGGTGCGCCGCAATTTTTTTTTATGTACATATTTCGAGAATTGCTCGGCGAAAAAGATTGAAAACATTGTAGGTAGATAAATTCCTAGGATGGACCTGGAATTGTTGCAGCTAAGGGACTGCTCGGAGGAGTGTTCTATAAGGGGCTGGCTGTGGTTTTGGAGTAATAAACAGTAGTCAAATTTAATCACGTGGTCGGTTGTAAAAGCACTATATTTTTGGTCGAAATATACCTTCCTACGGCGGCAAAATGGACCAAATGTAGTTTTCTGATTTTTTTTAATAAACCGCACTTGTTACTTTCGAAAAATCGATGAAATCGATTTTTTCTAAAGTATACGTGCTCCTCACTAAAAAAAATATTTTTTTGTCTGTCCGTTTTTCGACGATAACTTCGCAACGGTTTGAACTACACGTTTCAAATTTTGCTCCTAACCAAAACATGATAAGTGTCCGAAATTTGAAGCGAAAAAATTCTTGAACGAGAAGACGCGCAAGATTTGGCTCTGAAAAATTTTATTCTTGATAATTTTTGAAGAATGTACAGGGTGGGCCGCATTTTCAAAAAAACTGAAAAATGGGTACTCCTAATAGTAAAAATCGGCAATAACTAAAATACAGTGTTTCAGATATTAATTTCTTTTACATGACGATTTAACCCGTATAGACAGCTAAAACTTTTGTGTTTAAGGTTTTCACCTATTGTGAAGGGTGTTCCAGATGCTATATATGAAATCTGTTAAGCGTCCTAAATTAGAAGATATCGACTACAAATTTAGCAGAGAAATAAAAGTCCATGCCGACATTTAAATAGTGCAAATTGAGTGCAATCAAAGTTCACCAAGTATTTTTTTTTAAACTGATTTTTTTGTGGTTATTTTGGCTTCCAGAAAAACATGCTTTTCTCCAATAACCATTCATCGGATCGTCAAAATTCTTTAACCAGCAGACGCAGAAGATCCAGCACTATATATACTGGGTTTTCCAATTATAGACAAAAATCTAAAAGATCTAGAAAAGTGTTCTTTTCCAGAGTAAATTATTAAACGCGAATCAAAAATCGCAAAAATACGGCCAATCCGTTCAAACAGTGGCATAGGCAGCATCAAGAGCTGCAATTTTTGTATTTACGGTTTTCGTTTATCACACACGCTGCTCTAGATATTTAAAAAAAATCCGCATGAAAATCACTATACCGCAGGTTCAGTCAGGACGCGATGACGTCATTTATTATTACGGCGCACTGCATGGTTTCAGAAAGAACCATTTAGTATTTTGGAAAAATTCTTGGACCGAGAAACGTGGGGAAATCCAGGGCTATAACCTACATATCCGTAAATTTTTCAATTATATACAGGGTGTGTCGATTATTGGTAAAAATATCTAAAGACCCTGAAAATGGCCGTTTATGTTTGTAAATTAATGGCCGCGAATGATAAACTATAAAATTTGTAAAAATCTGGTTCAAACAGTATCATAAATTGTGAGGAGAGAGAGTTTCAAGTTTCGTCGATCATACTGGGTGCGCGAGATACTTGGAATAATATCATTGGAAATCGTTATTACTTGTACAATTGTTTATATTTATCAAAGTTTGTCGTGACTTTGAAATTCGGCGATAAGTAAACGACGCTTTATACAGGGTGTGTACACAATATAATTCCATCGATTTTGCGAAAGTTCCGTAGTGGTCCGCAGGAGCACGATAGAAAAACAATGCGTCCCTCAAGGAAAAAAACCCCAATTGGCTTCTTTTTGCAATAAAACTTGCCCAGCCCAACGACGAATTTTCAAAAGCAATCTTGTTTATTTTCATTTATGTTTAATATGACACTATGTTATACAACCATAAGTCCACTTTGCACGAAAGTGTTGTTCACCTTTTTTTTTCCTGACCATAAATGGATATTAGAAAATTGCGAGTTCTTCCTTGCGAAACGTGTCGTTGCGATTATTACGATTTTACATCTCAAAGTTTCCGTTGGGAGATCGCGGGTAGGCGGGACGCCGATGAGGAAACCTCAAACTTAATTTTCTCATCGGAAATGGTTTGGTAAACTATCCCGCTGATCGTTCATCCCTGTACCGCGGCGTCCAACGAAACAAATAGTTTTCCGCTCTGCGAAAAACCCGATTAAATTGCGTATTCCCGTGACGTTTTCGCGGTGCTGCGGGATCGTGCTCGATTCCCGCGACAAGACAAATGCGACAACTGAAAATCGCCGAGGCATAACATGTATAAAACATGGCAACCCTCGAACGGAGGGAGACGAATTCGCGTTCCTAACCGGCGAAGACGTCCCGAGAAAGGATTCCGTTTCGCTCGAGTGCCATTTATTAAACAAAACGATATATAACTTTGACGTAATTTATTCGATTCAGCGAGGTCCCGTTTCGCCATAATTACGGCTTACGAATGTTTTCGAGCCCATCCTTGTCGTAACTGAATTAGCCACGCGGGGTGGGCGTCTGACTTCACACCACGCCCCCACAGCTTCCGCATTCCGATATTAGGTCACGCCCTTGCACTATAGATACTTCATGATTGGCCCATTACAGGCGTTAAGCAGGTGTACTTTCCAGCGATATCCTGTCGTATTAGTTCACGCCCTTGCAGTCTAGATAACATCCTATTAGCGCGTGAGGCTATGCAATCAGTAGGTTTTTTATTTTAAGGGAACGCGATAGATTTTGTGTTTAAAAAAACTTTGTGATGAAATTTCTATCCAAATTTTGCATAGTTTAGGCAGAAATTGGGGTATGTGTTTATTTTCATATTTTGATTGGCCCATATAAAATTGTGTTGTGACGCCACTGATCCAGGTATTGCAACGAAAATTTAACCATAGACTAAGGAGATGATACATTACTCAATCAATTCAATTAACAAAATTTCAAGATTTTCAAATGGAACACACTACAGTCGAACTTCGATAAGCGGAACTGCGATTTGACACATGAAAATTTCGAGTTATCAAGACTTCGAGTTATCAATAAAAACTACAAATGCATGTACTTTTTTGTGAATGAACATTTATTCATTCATTTTTAAAAATGGGGGTTACGTTACATAAATGCCCTAATATCTATGATTTTTGAACAAAAAACGAAAATTATGAAATAATAGTACATATGTATGTATGTATTTACATAATATATGTACATACAAATGTATTGTATATGTACCCAATATATGTAAACATAGTATGTATGCACATATACATATTAAAGTTTACCCTTTCACTGGAAAAAAAGTCAGTTACTTGTGACTGAGGATCGGATTTTTGGTTTTCAACAAAAGCTTCAATTTTATTTAAACAATCATAGAGGGAATCGGTTGTGTATTCACTGGTTTTCAAATAGGAACGCAAGACAATCAACGAATTTTCAAGCAATTCATTTGAAGGTGGTTGCTGAGAATTATCTTCCAATTCCTCCTCCATCGTGTCACTTTCGCAGTCATCTTCGATGTTTAACTACCGGTTCGGATCTGTAGGACTCGATAATATCTTCATCAGTAGGAAACTCTGAAGTAACAATATCCTCATTCACATGTATAAAATCGTTGATGGTGCTACCTTCTGCTATATTTCTAATGTTTGTCCAAGCTTTAAACTCGATTTCTGTTTGGATTTCGTCTTCACTCTTTTCTTTCAGGCGTTCACTTAGGAAAATCAAGGGAATCTCAT